TTGGGTTCACACTAGGATCATTGTGAGCACTGAGGATCGGGGTCCATTCATCAGAGAGAAGAAAACTATAAATCTCATCTCATCAAGGGGCCAGGGTGGCCTGTCTGCTTCCTGGGGGTCCCAAGGGGTGACCGCAGCAGGTTCCCTAGGTCAACAGGCTTCTGGACAACAACAAGACGGCGGCAGGAACAACGTTGCAGCAGGGAGCCATGGATTACAATCAGCTGGTCTCCAGTTTCTTAGCAGGGGGTTAGACTGGATGGCCCATGAGGTCTCTTCCAACTCTAGGATTCTATGATCACAAGCCAAGTAACACAGTTTTTATAGAGTGTACAGAGCTGTCAAATTCTAATTTCCCTCTCCCGCCACCCTCATCGGCTTCACGCTGATTGATTGGAGTCACCTGGAATCATCTGGTGCTTCTTGTCTTTGTCAATATTAAAATACCTGGATGCTGGGAGCTGTCGTCCAGAAGAGAGTGTAGATATGCTATTGTGTGTTTTGTTTGCACTTTGCACATGCATCTTTTTGCTTTTTTGGCTTTTTAAGTCCCTTCCCCTGTGTTCTTCAGTATTTTTACCAGTAATGGTCACTTGTTGGCCTGATAGGTATATTGTGTCCTAATTTGGTGTTAATTCGTCCAGTGGTTTTTGAATTTTGTTAATTCCCACAAACAAACATTACATTTTTATTTATATAGATGAGCAAAATTGAGTTGCTTGTTAGACTTAGGGTGCAACTAACAGTGGAATGAATGCAGTTTGACACTACTATAACTGCCATGGCTCAATACTAGGGAATCTTGGAAGGTTTTTAGCTTTGTCTGCCAAAGAGTGCTGGTGCCATGATTCCATAGCATTGAGCCATGACAGTTAAAGTGTATTCATTTTACAGTATGGATGTAGCCATAGAAGAGACACACAGGAACCAATGCAGTGTACCTAAGTGCTGATTTGTCATTCAGTAATTAATTTAATAGTCCCATCCTCTTTTGGATGAGTAATTGGATTTAGGTCTGAGTAATTAGGGTTGCATCCATTGTTTATTATACTGTAGTTCCATCAAGGCAAGGACTTTTCATGCACCATGTACCCAGATAGCACTATGTAAATATTAACATAATTTACATGGCAGTGTATATCCAGCCTCTGTTCCAGGTTCCAACCTTGTATTTATTTTCTCGATGCATTCAATTCCCTTTCTGACTCTATTCTTTCCCTCTGGCTATCACAATACATTGTGTGAGTTGAAGTCCAAAGCACCTGAAGGGCCAAAGTTTGCCCATGCCTGCTATACTTTTTTGGTCATGGAATCCTTTAGGAGACATATTTTCTACAGCAACCTAAGCATGGATCTAGGCTGGATCTACACTACCATATAATCCATATTATCAAAGCAGATTATCAACATTATCTGATTTGAACTGGATTATATGAGTCTACATTGCCATAGAATCCAGTTCAAAGCAGATAATCTGGATTTTACATGGCAGTGTAGATGAGGCCCTATATCACAGGATCTGATCCCAGATTATATGTTTATCCCAGGTTATCTGGCAGTGTAAACCCACATAATCCTGTTCAAAGCAGATAGTCTGAGATCATATCCTGGAATATAGGACAGCGCAGATCCAGCTTCTCTTACCTCTGGCTGGATCAGCACTGCAATAAAAATCCAGATTATCTGCTTTGAACTGGATTATATAGAAATAAACAGTTCCCATCATTCTCCCTGATTCTGGGGAATATATGAACCACAGATCTTGCAAACACAGTTAACCAATATATTAGATGAGTTTAACATGCAGCTTAGAGGTAACTAAAAGTAATTGATTACAACTAATGTGTTGCTTGTAATTCCATTCCCCAACAATTAAGACCCCATCTACACTGCCAGATAAAATCCATCTTATCTGCCTTGAACTAATATAATCCAGTTCAAAACAGATAATCTTGATTTTATCTGGCAGTGTAGATGGGACCTATGGCATAATGTAAATTACATTATGATGGTCATGTAACATGCTTTGTAGTTTAACTGCAATGGCTTTAGATCTACTTTTATAATTATATAATTATGTGTGTGTGTTTGGTCTCATTGGGTGTGTATGGCTTAGTTGTATTGCTTTTTAGGTTGTGGCCTGTTTTGTGCCCCAATCTTGAGGGGCGGGGGGGGAAGCATAATAGTAATAATAATAATAATAATAATAATAATAATAATAATAATAATTGTAATCACAATAATGAATTTTGTACAACAGGCCAACATAGCATTTTAATGTTTCCAAAAAGTAACAAAAACTACTACTGTACTTTGGTTTACTTCCAAATGGAGGGAAAGAACAGTGATACTTTGTAAAACTGCAACTAGAGTCCTAATGATCTTATAGGGTCTAGGTTTGTAACTTTTAACTACTATAAATATTTTTGAAGTTACCCGTCATGCTGTGAACTTGTTGGGTATCGCTCTGTAGGGTGACCAAATGTACAGGATTTTGGCAAGCATAGGTTTCTTCATAATGAAGGCAAATATCTTTCCTATGTTCTGGTCTTTCCAAATGGTAATTAAAGGAATAGGAGCCTTCCTGTCTGCTCCATTTAATTACTAGCCTCCACCCAGTTTTCAACACCCAAGACCTCAACATTTTGGCTTTTTTTTCATGATAGGCTTTTGAGGACAGAAAACCGGGAAGAGTCCAGGGGCTTTTCACACAATGTAATTATGGCACTATTGTTCCACTTGAATTGCTATGGCAATCTCCTATGGAATTTTGTGATTGACAATCGAGGGAGGGATCTTTAGATTCCATAGCCTGGAAGCTTGCCTAATGCCTCTCACAAAACTACAAATCCAAGGATTCCATAGGAGGTTGCCACAGTAGTTAAATAATAATAATATTTATTTATTTATTTATTTATTTATTTATTTATTTATATTCCGCCCTTCTCATCCCGACGGGGACTCAGGGTGGATCACAGTACACATACACAGCAGACATTCAATGCCGTTTTGTATAGACAATACAGGGACAGACGAAACAGAAGGAGGTGTGTTGGTTCGACTCAATGTCTAGCTTTTGATGCCATCAGAGGCGGCCCTAGGTAATTTTCAACTGTAAACAAACAGTATTTTGCCCCCCCCCCCCCCAACCAACCACTGATATATATTTTCTGTTTGTCGTGGGAGTTCTGTGTGCCATATTTGGTTCAATTCCATCATTGGTGGAGTTCAGAATGCTCTTTGATTGTAGGTGAACTATACATCCCAGTAACTACAGCTCGCATATGTCAAGGTCTATTTTCCCCCAAGAGCGCCTCAAGAGCGCCCCTGGGCAAAATCAACTATACTGCAAATGCTTACTTTGCGTAATGGGTTGAGCCGCCCCCTGGGTGCCATGGAAGGTTGGGCTTGAATCCAGACACAGGGGGTGCTGTTGCTTCATCCTCTATGACAAAGAGCCATCACGATTTCCTCCTTCCTTTTGCTCGCCCAGTATTTTCTGATCTTCTTTCATTATGGCATCGTAAAACACCTCCCCCGCTTTTAGTGGTACCTAATTTCACTAATTACAGCTAAAGCTGTTTTCAAACTGCCTAGGCCAATAGGAAGCTGGCCTGACAGTTGGCAGCTCATGCTGACCCAGGGCTTCGAACTTGCAACCTTTCCGTTGATAGATCTTATAATTGCTGGTGACTTACCAGCTGTGCTAAACCACTGGCCCACAGTGGTATAACTGTGTAGTGTGGAAGGGTTCCCAGAGCAGCAGATTGTCTCTACAGAGTAATGAATCTATGGGACATTATTAGGAAAGATATGAAACAAAGACTCTTCTTGTATCCTGACAGTCAAGATTGATACTCACACTGGGCTTCATTTTAACCTCTAACGCAGCGGTTGTCAACCTGGGGGCCACGAACCCCAGGGGGATCATTTGGCCATTTTGGAGGGGTCGCAAGGCTGCCTCCTTAGGCCCTGCCCCCAATGCGCGAAGCCTCCCTCGGCTGGGCCGCGGTCCTGCCTTCCGGCAAGGCCGCAACCCAGCCGAGGGCCCACCTCGCCTCACACGAAGTCTCCCTCGGCTGGACCGTGGTCCCGCCTTCCAGCAAGGCCGCAACCCAGGCGAGGGCTCTCCTCACAGGAAGTCTCCCTCAGTTATAAAGAGGCAACAAAAATAATTTTATGGTTGGGGGTTACCACAACATGAGGAACCATATTTAGGGGTCACGGTGTTAGAAAGGCTGAGAACCACTGCTCTAATGCCATCCCTAAAGTAGACTTTTAAAAATAGAAAGCACCTAAAAACAAAAACTTTAGCTAGGCAGAAAACCCCTAAGGTTGTGTTTTGTGGACTTCAGAAATTAGTCTATGTTCCAGCTATATATATTAATCTTCTTTGGCATATTGCTTCAAGCAACTCAGTTTTCTACAACATAAATGTGGCATGTTTAATTCTCATCCAGACTTCTCATTCTTCAACATTTGTTCTTCTCCAGTTCTCACAATAAGAGCAAGAAATCTTAGCGTGATACCACTGCCTTGAAAAATGGTGCTTGTGATGTATATATATGTCTTCCCCATTTGGTGGACTTTGTGTTTTTTTATTTTATTTTAAGGGTGCAGGATTTGCATCTGTAGCTGATGTATAAAAATATTACCAGTGTTGTCTCCTGGAAAATCATCCTTGTAATATTTTTTGGGTCTGTCTCCTGCGATTTTATGAATAATCATCTTAAAATCTCAGGTTTTGGAAATCTCAAAGTCCGACATTTCCCAGAGGACATAGCCCTGTTTGGTGGATACTCTAAGTAGAGGAGGAATCATGGTGGAAGTGATGCTGAGGTCGAGGATGAAAAGAAAGGAAATGTTGAGCGTTTTGTTGTGGTTGACGGAGTTACAGGAGTTGACACAATGCTGAGGATGAAATCATGCAGTTCCTCCTCTTTCACATTATATCTTTGGCCCAGCTAGGTCATTCATTTACACTTGTTGTTTCTTGACAGGCCATGGTCACAACAGTGGCCCAGCTATTCCTGGCTTTGCCACAAGGCAGCAGAAACTGGTCCAAGCAGGGCTCGGGTGCCCTGTGCTTCGTGAAGGATAACCCCAGGCGTTCCTACTTCATCCGCTTCTACGATCTCAAGGTACCACTTCCCAGACTCCACTATGACCCTTCCTTTCTATTATCCACTAAATGCAGGCAGTTTTATGCTAATTTACTACAGCTGGGAGTAGGAACATGTGAATCTCCTTAAATTGCTGAATTGCTATTCCTAACACCCCGTTGGATGTGCTGGCTATGTCTCATCCAATAATATGTAGAAGGCTGCACATTTCTCAATCCGGTGCGGGAATAACTTCTTGGCTCCATATTGTACTATCCAGTCTGATGTCAGGATAAGAGATGGTCATAATACAGTTGACCATCCAGATTTGCAGGTTTAACTTTTTTTGTATTTGATTAATATGGTCTCTTTAAAAGTTTCTAGGTCTTCCAGGACAACTTATGGTCAAACTCTGGTGGAAGTTGACCACAGTCATATTAGGGCAAAGGTGTCAAGCTCATTCTCATTGAGGGCTACATCAACCTTAGGGTTGCCTTCAAAGGGCCGTGGAATCTATGGACAGAGAATCAGTAGATACAGAGGATATATGTGTGTCTGTGTATGTGTGTGCGCGCGTGCGTGTATGTATATATTTACATGGCCGTCAGTACTCTTTAGTTTTTACCCAGTTTGGATTCTCAGATGTTACTGTATGATAACTCCCATCACTTTTGATTATCCGCCATTATCTGGGGATAGTGGAAATTACAGCCCAACAGCACTTGTGGGCATTTTAAAGTCAGGCATCATGCCCACAAGCCTTGTATCTAAATTCCGACCCCCATTCTCCTGACTTAATAGAGCTGCAGCTTTTCAGATGTTACTGTATCCTGACTCTCATCAGCTCTAGTCATGAAGTCTAATGATGAGGGATACAGGGGTTGTAATCCAGTATCTGGAGAGGCACATAAAATGACACGGTGGGCTGGATTTGGCCCACGGGCCTTGAGTTTGATAAATGTGAATTAGGGGATCTAGAGATTCCCAGAAAGGCTGTCCCTAAGATTTTTTATTTTTATTGTGTCAGAAGTGACTTGCAAATCGCTTCTGGTGTGAAAGAGTCATCCATCTACAGAGATGTTGCCCAGGGGATGCCCAGCTGCAAAGACGTTGCCCACGGGATGCCTGGATGTTTGATGTTTTACCATCCTGTGGGAAGCTTCTCTCATGTCCCCACATGGGAAGCTCGGGCTGACAGATGGGAGCTCACCCCATCTCAGAGATTCGAACCGTCGACCTTCAGGTCTTCAGGTCAGCAGTTCAGCTGGCACAAGGGTTTAACTCAGGCTTCCTCAAACTGCAGGCCTCCAGCTGTTTGGGCCTTCACCTCCCAAAATTCCTGACAATTGAACAAGCTTGTTAGGGCTTCTGAGAGTTGGTGGCCCAAATAGCTGGAGGGTTGCAGTTTGAGGATGCCTGGTTTAACCCATTGTGTCACTGCAGCTCCTGTTACTCACAGTTTTTTACATTTGTGGGGTCTTGCACCCTTAAGCATATCTAGATGACTGATCATATATCCATGGTATCATTATTACTGTTGCAAATTGTGGGATGTGCAGATTTCTAGGTGTTGATAGAAATAAATTTTAGAGGTATTGGTAAAACCAAGTTCTTGAAATACTTCCTGGACAACTTTTGGCCCAACAGTTGTGTATCTGTAAACTGCTCGACAACCTTTCTATTAAATTTTTGAGCAGGTCAGAAGAAAAGCACTTTTGTTGAACTGAGAAACAGAACCCTTTGGAATTGCGTATATATTCTGTTTGTGTATTGCGACTGATTATCCAATCAACCTTGCATTTTGGTCTTTGTGAGAGATAATTTTTTCAATTGTTTTCAATTGAATGCAGCAGCTAACCCCAGTCATAGATAATGTAATAATGAAGGCGCAGCCTCCAGATAATGAAAAACTAACAGAGGAGAGATGTATTAAATACATTTACATTTTTTAGCCAACTGCCAAATGGCAAAGGCAGTAGGGCGTGTAATTCAGTATAGATGTTACAGACATTTGCTGGCAAGGTTTCCAAGAATGTGGCTTCGCATTCTCCGTCATCCAAGAAGTCGTAGCCTTCCAACTATTCACATGGCTGCAAACATTTCATACATGAAAGCTGATACATGTATGGGCAAGCAATATCAGAATATGGTCAAGACAGCAAAAGGTACTAATTGGGAAGAACACAGAAGTTAGGAGAATTTTTAGCAGGGTTTTTTTTTTGGCCTAAATTACAGGAAAGAGCCTCACTTTGTCCCCTCTTCTCCTTTCTCTGTAATGATTGAGTGCAAACTACTTTATTTCTTTGAACACAAATTGTAGTTTTAAAAAATTTGTGTCAGGAGTGACTTGAGAAACTGCAAGTTGCTTCTGGTGTGAGAAAATTGGCTGTCTGCAAGGACGTTGCCCAGGAGATGCCCAGATGTTTTACAATCCTGTGGGAGACTTCTCTCATGTTCTCGCATGGGAAGCTAAAGCTGACAGACGGAAGCTCACCCCACTCCCCAGATTTGAACTGCCGACCTTTCAGTCAGCAGTCCTGCCAGCAAAAGGGTTTAACCGTTGTGCCATTGGGGATTCCTATTGTAGCAGTTGAAATAAGCACAAGTCCCATTAATGGCTTCTTAGAATGAATTTCAGCAGGAAGCAACAGCTGCTGATATTTCCATTTCTATTCAGCTGTTAAAGTCCTGTCCAATTTTCACTCTAGCAACCTGGCTAAATGTGGTCAAACTTGAGTAGGATGGGAATGGAGTGTCACCAACACATCCTTCTTCTCCTTAGACAGCAACATGCCTTGCCCCAAATTTATATGTGTGTTTGTATTTTTGTACACCAACATGTGAGTGAGGGGAGTTGGATCTTTCCAGACTTCACTTGAAATGTTTTCATTTTCAGCCTGGGTCACTTCCATCATTGGATCCCATCCAAGAGAAAGATCTTTGTAGACTGAATGCAGGGCTAAAGAAGGTGTCAACGTGGAAGGCTTTACCCATTACATCCATCTACTAATTTGTGGTTAAAATATTTTAATCTCACCTTGCCTTTTTGGCCTCTAGAACAAATATTCTTTCGCCAGGTTGCTTTGTTCATTGTAATCCCTGGCCTATTTAACATTTGTATTTAGGATTAAAAAGAAATAAAATCCACATTGAACTGGATTATATGGCAGTGTGGTCTCAGAAAATCTAGTTCAAAGCAGATATTGTGGGTTATCTGCCTTGATATTATGGATTAGATGGCTATTTGGAAGGGCCCATAGACAGATGTGTATACCAGAAAAGCACACAATGAAATCATTTCCACCTACTCTGTGTCTCTGTTCTAGGACAGGAAGATGACCTGGGAGCAAGAACTGTACACTCAGCTGGTCTACACTGCAACTACCTCTTATTTCCATACCTTCCCAGGAGATGTGAGTATTGGTATATGGATGAATGTCGTAATGTACATGTAGGACTCATGTGCAGGAAGAAGGAGCATTTGGTCCCCTTATGTTTTGGATGTAAACTATTATGACCAGTTGTAAGGGATTGTAGTGCTCATAGTGCAAACCATTTGGAGAACCAAATGGACCAAACTTTCCTTCACCTGGGCTAGAGGACAGACACCTGCAAATTTAAAAACTCATTTGAGCTGTAGGAAAGAAGAGGACTTCTCTGGATACTTGTGGACCACACAAATGAGTCCTAGAACAAATCAGGCCTGAACTCTACCTAGACACTAAGATGACTAAACCGAGGCTGATGTACTTTGGCTATATCATGAGAAGGGAGGGTTCACTGGAAAATAAAATAATGCTTGGTAAGGTCAAAGTCGAGATCCCCAGGTGGCTCAATGGGTTAAACCACTGAGTTGCTGAACTTGCTGAACTTGCATGTGAGTGGGACAGTGACCAAAAGGTGGGCAATTCAAATCTGGGAAGCGGGGTGAGCACCCACTGTGAGTCCCAGTTTCTGTCAACCTAGTAGTTCGAAAACATGAAAATGTGAATAGATGAATAGGTACCACTTTGGTGGGAAGGTGTTGGCGCTCCATGCAGTCATGCCAGCCATATGACCTTGGAGGCATCTATAGACAACTCCGACTCTTTGGTTTAGAAACTGAGATGAGCACCACCTCCAGAGTCAGACATGACTAGATTTAATGTCCTTATAAGATAGAAGTCAGCAGGAAAAAAGGGGGAAAACATTATTACAGTGATGGAAGCCGCAGCCTTGACTCTGCAGGACCTGAGCTTTTGGGGCAGGGTCACTTGGAAGTATCTAATTCATAGGTCATCATTAGCCGAACCTGACTTTACAGCAGTTAACAACAACAATCCCAAACTATGTTTCACACAATAGTTTGCTTGTACAAATGTACCTGGGTGACTTTAGACAGGTCACACTCTCACAAACTCAGAGGAGGGCGATGATATAAACCATCTCAGACTAAATTTTGCTGAGAAAACCACAGGAAAGGGTTGCCGTAAGTTGACGTGAAGGCACCCAACAGTGGCGTGTGCCTCCTTGAGTTCTCTGCTGGGAGAAAGGCAGAATATATATTAAATAAAGAATGCATACATACATACATACTTACATAATAACAATAAAATAAAAGAAGAGGAAGAAGGCAAAGATGTACTGAATAAGGCAAAGATGTACTGAATTTATTGTATTTTCACAACAATATACAATTATACAGAGTGCAAGAGAAACCATATTCTCAGAAGTTTATACTTTAAATAACACAGGAAAAGGTAGAAAGTAAAAGCAGGAATGAAAGAGGGAAGCAGCACGTGGAAGCCTGGACATGTTTGAGCTCCTATCCAGATGGTAGATTTTTTGGGAGGGGTGGTCTTTGTGCAAGATGCCCCTGTTCAGAGGGGGATTACAAGGGAAAGAAAGAAATCTGTTCTGGTTTCTGAGTTTCTTAACTGCTTGAGTGTTCAGAAAGACAGGCTAAGTGGATTATAATGACAACTTCAGCAAGAGGTACTGGTAGTGGAAGTCTTGACACTGGGGACCCCTTCATTTAAACCTACTTGGCTATATCATGAGAAGGGAGGGTTCACTGGAAAATAAAATAATGCTTGGTAAGGTCAAAGTCGGGATCCCCCAGTGGCTCAATGGGTTAGACCACTAAGTTGCTGAACTTGCAGAACTTGCATATGAGTTTTAAAGGTACTGGTAAAACCAAGTTCTTGAAATACTTCCTGGACAACTTTTGGCCCAACAGTTGTGTATCTGTAAATTGCTTGAAAACCTTTCTATTAAATTTTTGAGCAGGTCAGAAGAAAAGCACTTTTGTTGACCCCAACACTGAGAAACAGAACCCTTTGGAATTGTGTATATATTGTTTGTGTACTGCGACTGATTATCCAATCAACATTGCATTTGGCCTTTGTGAGAGATAACCTTTTCAAATGTCTACACAGATCAGGACTTTCCCACATTTGCCATCCATCTAAGGGGCCCTTCTACACTGCAATATAATCCAGATTACCAAATCAGATAATTCAGATTATTTGGCCTGAACTGGATTATATGAGTCTACACTGCTATATAATCCAGTTCAAAGCAGATAATGTTGATTTTATATGGCAGTATAGAAGGAGCCTTAGTTCGTTACAGCTGCAATAGACCTTGCAGGAGCCAATAATTCTCTGAGTCTTCTTATGGAAGAAGGGTGATGGGAATGAAAGAGCACCACGAACTAAGGAAAGCCTAGTTTAAGTGCTTCAAAGCCCTTCACTACAATCACTACAATAAGGGTAGAGTGAGTGAGGATTAATCTAGCAAAACTTCAATCACCTCTTTAGGGACTGAAAGAAGACTGGGTGAATGCACTGGTGTTCAAGAGCAAGAATGGACTATAGTTGCCCGGGAAAGCTGTGCTGTCTTTTTCCCAACAGTGTTGTGTTTTCATTGCTTGCAGGAGTGCACCGTGGGGCTAAATTTTGCCGATGAGAATGAAGCAGACATTTTTCAACATACGGTGGAGGAAAAGATCCAGAAGAGGAACCAAAAGATGGGTAGGTGGGGATTCAAGGCAAAGGGGTCTAAGTGAAGTGGGGCACACCTCTTCCCTGGAGGACTTTGTTCCTGCCTCATTGAAAATTATGGATCTGGAAAGGCAAGCCCCTTTTTGGCCTTATGACTCAGACTCAAATTGTACATTTCAGACCAGTGCAGATAAAGAGCAGCTGTTTTTATTGATGCAATGCAGTATTATGCAGACCAAGGGAGAGGAAGACTAAACTGGGCCAATTATTTCTGGTTTTGCCCTTTTCCTCCTTCTTTCCAGAGGCAGAGAGATAGAGTTACTTAGTGTTCCCAATCTAAATGAACTAATGAATACTCTTTCAAATTGGCTCAGTGCCATGCCATCCTAATTTATTTAAAAAAATTGAGAAAATGTTCTGGCTTTGTAGAAATGGCATGATCACTCTTTAATTGCCATGGCTGCACCCGGTGGAATTGTGGGAAATGTATTTTGGAGTTGCCAGTTATCTGGCTGAGATTTCTAAGGCTCCTCACAAAAACTTTTATTCTGAAATAAATTGCAACAGGTTGCAACAGGTATGCTGGTGTCTCTGTCTTATTGTGGAGGAAACAGCTCCCTCTAGTGGACATAGGTCTGTATCCCACACTTTGACTTCAGGTTAGATCAGGCATGGGCAAACTTTGGCCTTCCAGGTGCTTTGGACTGCAACTCCCACAATTCCTAACAGCCAGTAGGGAGGGCCAAAGTTTGCCCAAACCTGGGTTAGATGTTCCAGGTGACACAATGCCTTCTTTGCATATTGTCTGTGTCACAAAAGTTAGATCTGTGGTTTAGCAGGCAATCCAGTTACTCAAACAAGGTGAGCAAGGAGGAACGGGGTTTGTTTCTATAACAGAAGTGAGGTGCAAACTCTTGAAATCCAGAATGAGAGACACAAATGATTTTTCTCTTGTAAGCTGGCATGTAACATTTTAGAGCAAATCACATCCTCATAGTTCAGAACACAACTCTTTCTCTGTGTCATCCATTAATATTCCCAAATTATCCTGGGAATTGGCTGTCTTTGTTCCAATTTACTTATCAGAACAGATAGCATGGTCAATGTACATGAAATTCAATGAGCAGGAGCCATATGAGTTGCTAGACTTCAGGAAGCCCTTAACTGCAAGCATTTGGAGATCAGAGCAGGAAACAAAACAGAAAGGAAGCTCCCTTACTCCTCTCTATATGTTACAATACAGCCATGGCCTGGATTTGTTTATTTATTTATTTATTTATTTCGAGGTTTTATATACCGACCCTCTCACCTTCAAAGAGGGATTCGGACCGGTTCACAACATGTGTTAACATACAAAAAATATACAATAACAACACAATGCCACTTAATTACACGATTTGCCCACGTGACCCTCTTGGATATTTTTTTTTCATGTCAGGAGTGACTTGAGAAACTGCAAGTCGTTTCTGGTGTGAGAGAATTGGCCGTCTGCAAGGACTTTGCCCAAGGCACACCCGGAGGTGTTACCATCCTGTGGGAGGACTCTCTCATGTCCTCGCTTGAGAAGCTGAAGCTGACAGGCAGGAGCTCACCCCACTCCCTGGATTCAAACTGCCGACCTTTTGGTCAGCAGTCCTGCCAGCACAAGGGTTTAACCCATTGTGCCACCCACTTGGATACTGATAAAGTGAAATGTGTCCAGAGAAGGAACAAGGTCTGGAGACCAAAAGCCCTATGAGAAGAACTTAGAGCCGGGGTCCGCAAACTTTTTAAACAGAGGGCAAGGTCACAGTCCCTCAAACTGTTGGAGGGCCGGATTATAATTTGAAAAAAAAATGAATGAGTTCCTATGCGCACTGCACATATCTTATTTGTAGTGCAAAAAACACTTTAAAACAATACAATAATTAAAATGAAGAACAATTTTAACAAATATAAACTTATTAGTATTTTAATGGGAAGTGTGGGCCTGCTTTTGGCTGATGAGATAGGACTGCTGCTGCTGCTGCTGCTGTTGTTGTTGTTGTTGTTGTGTGCTTTCAAGTTGTTTCAGACTTAGGTTGACCCTGAGCGAGGGCCGGGTAAATGACCTTGGAGGGCTGCATCCGGCCCCTGGGCCTTAGTTTGAGGACCCCTGACTTAGGGAGCTGGATAAGTTTAGTCTGGAGAAGAGATGGCTAAAAGAGGATGCAATAGCTATTTTTAAAAGGATGTCATATTAAGGAGGGAGCTGGCTTGTTTTCTGTTGCTCTAGAGCCTAGAACATGGAGCTTCTTGCAGCAACACCAGAAGCACTCCAAGTGGCCAGATACTGGTCAAAGGACATTTAATCAACTACCAAACTCACAATTTTCGTATTTTGTCTGGTTTTTTTTTTTTTTTGCTTTGTTCTGTTAGAAACGTAATATAATCGTCTGGTTGCACTGAAACGATAAATAAATATATATATACCTAAATATTAAGAAATATGCGTAATATGTTTCCTCGGGAGTGTGGTGGAGTCTCCTTCTCTGGAGCTTTTTAAGCAGAGTCTGGATGGCAATCTGTTGACTGTATGTTTCCTGCATGGTAGGAGGTTGGACTGAGTGACCTTTGTGGAATCTTCGATTCTAGGATTCTATGATATTTCTTTGAGGGTTTATTCCTTTGACTTAAAATTTCCATCACAGTACTGAGCATGAAAGTGTTCGTTTTCTAGTTTATGACTCTGTCAAAGCCAGTTGCCAGGCTGGAAGGGGGCTTCTCACTAGAAAAGGAACTTTCCCAAGCTCTGAGAGCTCTACCTGCCTTTTATGAGCCCAGCCTTTTGACGGTACTTGCTGGAAAGGTGAGGTTTTGTAATCCACCCCACTAGAGTGAGCCAAAGCACATCTCTGCATTTCTAGCCATGAGGCGAATGAGTGTGCTGAGGGGAATGAGTTCATGTTACTAAACACAAAAACCGGTTGGCACATTTTGTAAAGTGCTTGAGGAAGTGTTGCTGGATCCTCGAATTTGATGAACGTTTCCAGAAGTTGATAATCCTATAGAGGATTCCAGTTAGTTAGATGGAGAGGTTTGTAATCTTTTCATCGGGCAAATACATAACACTCGGCCCCATCCGCTTTGCTGTTTCTCTCATTGACTGTGCCCTAGAAGATCTGTAGAATGTAGTTGGAAGAGGTGCTTGTTCAGTTCTTGCATATATGCCTAAAATAAATAAAGCGAATAGCTAGAATCCGCTCTCATAGTCTGTGTTCTTTCTTTTTACAGAAAACAGGCAACTGCCACCACCGCCACCTCCAGTCAACGGGGGTATGTGTTCTTTCAATATTTATTTCCTTTTTTGTGGGTGGTAAGATGGAGCTGGCACTTTGGGTGGTCTAGTGTCCATTATTTCATCCCACAGACCCTCCAAGACAGAAGTGCAAATAATAATAATTATTATTATTATTATTATTATTATTATTATTATTATTATTATTTTAGAAATCAAACCCAGAAATGGTCACTTTCACTTCCATTCCTTTCCTTGCCAGAAAATAGTTAGGGATGAAAGACAAAATGAGTGCATTGAGCTCACAAAAAAGAAAGCTGCCCTTTGAAAATTTCATTCACTCACATATTTCTATGTGGAAATCATTTGTATCTAGAGCTATTTTCTGCATTCTCACTCCCTTGGTCACATTGCCAGTCCATTTACATTGGATTTTTTTTCTTGTCAGGAGTGGCTTGAGAAGCTGCAAGTTGCTTCTGGTGTGAGACAATTGGCCATCTGCAAGGACGTTGCCCAGGGAATGCCTGGATGTTCTGATGTTTTACCGTCCTTGTGGAAGGGTTCTCTCATGTCCCCGCATGGGGAACTGGAGCTGACAGAGGGAGCTCATTCGCACTCTTCCCAGATTCGAACCTCCAACCTGTTGGTCCTCAGTCCTGCTGGCACAAAGGTTTTACCCATTGCGCCACCAGGGCTCCTTTTACCTTGGATGTCTAAGCACTATTTCTAAATGGACACCTGATGCTAACAGGTGGCCAGCTAACACCCTCTCAACAAAGGATTCACTCAGGCATGAAGCAACCAGGCTTTGAAGCTGCAAGGCCATTTAATGCTAATCAAGGTGGTCAATTGCAACATTCACACTTGACTCCGGTAGACAAGTATTCTTTCTCCCACCTTGGACACTCCACAGATATATAAACCTCACTTGCCTAGTTTCCAACAGACTTCACAATCTCTGAGGATGCCTGCCATAGATGTGGTTGAAATGTCAGGAGAGAATGCTTCTGGAACATGGCCATACAGCCCGGAAAACTCACAGAAACCCAGTGATTCCGGCCATGAAAGCCTTTGACAACACATTATAGTTGACTTGGTTGTGCATAAATCCAGGAGGAACTTGGGACTTAGCCTACTTGCCAAAGGAGCTTGTTGAGATGAAGAAATATGGCTGTAAACAAAGACAACTGAATCCTAGGAGGATTTTTATTTTAGAACACAAGGACAGTGGTAATAAACTGCTGGCTGGAAAAAAAGTTTGTGGCAGCTCTAATTTTAGAAAACACTGCATTATGGACTTGTCCTGAAACAGGTGGTAGTGAAGATCTCTAAACATTAAGTCTTTTTGCCTCCACCAGACAGAAGAGCAGTTGGTCCTCGATATTCACCCTCTGGGGCTGACCTGAATGGTAAGTCACTATTGTGTTTGCTGATACAAAGGCATTGATTGATTAAATAATTTTCTATTTTGGCTCCTCTCCTATATGTGTCCATAATGTAATTTTCAGATACAGTGTACAAATATAGGAGAATGCAATCCAATCAAAACTATACAATTATTTGAAATAAATAGAAATATACAGATAAACAGGAAAAGTCATCTTGGAACAGCATTCATAAAATTTCATTTACCTGCTGTATAATAAATAAACCTAAAGAGATCAAGATATTATTTTGCCCAAATGATCTTTTGCTATAGAGGAAAGAACATGTAGTTGCTTGAAGTTTAAAATGGTACCACTTTGCTAGCCAGATGTGTAAGTTAAGTGTGATAATGCATGAGGTTGAGGAAAACAAGCCACCCATTATTAAGAGCGAAATCCATGAGCCAAGGTACAAGTGGCTCATCTGGCAATCTGAACTACTCCAAAGTCTGAAATTGTCCACAGGGGTGGCTGAGAGAGGGATATCTTTGCTATCTGCTGATTCAATGTACCCAAACTTTGTTTCATGCACAACATTATTTAAAACATGATGTATAAAATTACCTTCAGGTTAATGTGTGTAAGGTCTATGTGTAATTCAAATGAGTTTTATGTTTAGACTTGGATCCTACCTTGTTGATATCTCAGTGTGTGTGTGTGGCAAGACTTTGGTAACTGCAGAACCCACACCCACAGTTTCTGTTATCGGTGCCTGATGTAAAATTGTATCTCTTGTAATTTGCTTGTTATTCTTCACTTGCAAGTAACCCAGCAAATTCTTTGAGAGGATACCTCCCTAGACATTTCTAGATCCTTCAATGCAACTCTATACTATTTTGGAACGCGAAGTCTGGTGATTTAAAGCCATTTGGTAATATCCACAGTTTTAGGTAACCAATCTGGCCAGGAACATATCCTCTGCTGATACAGGGATCTTATTGTGTGTCAAGATAGAGGTATTCCTGAATAAATAAATAAATAAACTGTCATGCGTTAGCATGAGTAGCATGCAGATTGACTCTAGCCCAGTTAACTGTGTGTGTGATGAATTGGCTCATAAAAGAAAAACACACGAGACTTCGGCTTAAAGTAGAAAAGAAAATATTGTAGTATTGGCAGCATACAAAAACAAAGTAGCAGGATTACTGTTTCCACAAAAGTAACATGAAACAATATCTTCTGAGAGATATCACTACTCAGCTGAGATAAGCAGGAATCCTTGTCCTCTTCTCATGGCTGTGTCTTCGCAGGACATCTGCAGCATAGTCCCCGGCTTACACAAAGCAGAACGGCACAGAGGCATAGATGCACAATAGCATAAACGCACAATGGCAAAGAACTAAACACACAGTAGCTATCTTTATACACATGAAAATAACACTCTCAATTAACTCTTCAATTAACTGAAACAGCTGTAGCACAAACAGCCTTGAACCTTACAGCAACTTAAAGTTATAGCACAAACAACATTGATCCTTACAACAACTTAGATAAAGTACATTGCAACCTCTTAGTAGCAACATAAACTACAAATCCAAACCACTTCTGTTCCCAAGCCTTTTGGATCAGGGATGCTCAATCTATAGTTGAAACCTCTGTCCATGGTGCTGCGTCATCGGACTTGAAGTTCACCTCCATCACATCCATCTCCAGCCTTCAGCCCAACATTTTTTGAAATGGCCCAAAGATAAAAAAAATTGAGAATGGAATTATTTGTTTTGATATAAATAAATAAATAAGACTGAACTCCATAATTCAAAAAGGAGGAACAAAGAAACAAAACAGTGGCTGATATTCTGTGGTGCTTCACATAGGCAAAAGAGACAAATAAATGGTCCTGAGAGCAATGTGGCATTGGAAAAGGGAATTTTGTTCAGTAAAGTGAAAAGCAGTAGGAAAAGAGAAAACTCTCTTAGTGGTTCCCAACCTTTGGCCCTCCAGGTGTTTTGGACTTCAGCTCCCACAATTCCCAACAGCTGGTAAACTGGCTGATCTTTCTGGGAGTTGAAGTCCAAAACATCTGGAGGACCAAAAGTTGGGAACCACTGTTGTAAATGGAAGTTATAGCCTTGGCAATGAGAGCTCTTGGTTGTCTCTCATTCATAGGGTTGCCATAGGTCAAAGGTTGCTTCAGGGAAATTAACAACCAAGGTATTTTGTAAGGAGTGGGAGCGAAGGGTAGGATAGAATGGATTTTCTGGTGTTTGCTTCATCTCTCATTTTCTGAAGGACCTGGTATGCAGCCAACCTCCCCTTCTCCAGCTCTTCCACTTGCAACTGTTGACATACAGAATCCAGACATCACCTTTTCCCGCTACCGTGGGCTCCCAGTTCCCACTGCAGTGGATAAGAAGAAAGGGAAAAAGAAGATTTCCAAGGCTGACATCGGAGCTCCAAGCGGGTTCAAGTAAGTATCTTTAGAAGCGATATAAAACCCTTTAATGAAGAACTGGCTGGCCAGAGAAGGTCCTTTCCAAAATTCCAAACCATTTTTAGGAGGAACCCCTGATTTCCACTCATTTTCCATGTTTTTTCGTCAGACATAGTTTGCTTTGCCGTTGGGGAGAACTGAATTTCTTTATTGATACTGTTGTTGCTTTCTGTTGTTGTTTTCCAAGATCATCTGCTGTTTGCCTATCTTGAATGGTAACCAGTTAAAATGACAGTCAGTAATCTTCTCATCATAGCAAGGAGGTTATTTAATGTGTATGTATCATTTTCCTCCTAAAATGGGATTCAAAGTTGCTTACAGTAATTTGAGGAAGATATAGCTAAAGGTTAAAAATAATGAAATAATAATAATAATGTTAAAAACATAAGACAATAAAAACACTTAAAACATATTTAAAATGTTGCTTATAGTGAAATAAGATCCTTCCGGATGCAAACAGTTTCAGTCTCTGAGTTTTATTGCCAAAGATCAAACCACAAAGCACCTATTTTAATGCAACCTGAGCCCTGCTACATGCACAATGGAGGACCTTCTTATAGCAACTCCAGAGGTACTCCAAGTGGCCAGGTACTGGTCAAAGGACATTTAGTATAATGCCAAGTTTTTTTAATGTTTTTATATACATTACAACTGTACCTTCAATTAGCTTCTGACATGATAAATAAATTGCCAAAGAACAATTGAATTACAAGCTCATGATTTGGACTTTTGGAAAAGCCTGACTGGCTCCAGAAGATGAGGAGGTTGGGCTTTTGCTGGGAAAGGCCCATTGCCTTATTCTCACTTAGTATGGAGCACCCAAGAAACACAGCGCCAGTGGCATCATTACAGCTGGTATTTCTCCCATGGACCTTCACCCATACTAGACCCACAACATTATAGGTAATATACTAGAAAACTGGACAAAATCAATGATCATTAAAAAAAACAACAATCTGGTAGTAATGCAAACAATAGTACATGCTTGTAGCATGCATAGATGAAACCGTATCATTGCAATTGAGTAATAGTAACAGCTCTAATTGGAGTTCATGGGCATTAGAAGATTAAAAAAAAAAGTAAATCAGAGAGTTTTAGCCTTGCATATATCTTGAAACAGTGCGTGTATAGTGAGCTTACAAAAATGGTTTTGCTTGGTTGTATCTAACTGCAGGGATGATTGTATAAATAAAATAACAAATGCCAACTCTCATCCTGCAAAAATAATTATGGTCATTTTGGTGTCACTGGGGTGGTCTGCACTCCCTCCCCGTGATACCACTGCATAAAACTTCTGCCCAACTGAATAATAATAATAATAATAATAATAATAATAATAATAATAATAATAATAATAGCCCTCCTTATCTCCCTGAGGAGACTCAGGGCTGTTTCCAACAGAAAGATGGCAACCATTCAATGTCAAAGATGAACAATAACTAATAAACAACCAAACTAAAACCAATAAACAAAGCAATATAAGAACGTATAACAAGATATTAAAAGTTAAATAAAACATAATCAATCCAAATTACTCAACTTACACCCACATAATAAGGAACTAATAAATCTAAAATATTTTAAAATTGTTAAATAAATTTAGAGGTATGGCTTAGTGCAGCGCTTCTTAAACTTCCACACTTGTGATTCCCTTCTGCCCAAGAAATCTTTACGTGATCTCATGTATACAGGAGCACCCAGTGGTGCAATGGGTAAAAACCTTGTGCAGGACTGAAGACTGACAGGTCAGAGGTTCAAATCCGGGGAAAGCACAGATAAGCTCCCTCTGTCAGCTCCGGCTTCCCATGTGGGGACATGAGAGAAGCCGCCCACAAGGATAGTAAAACATAAAAAACATCTGGATGTCCCCCAGGCAACATCCTTGCAGATGGCCAATTCTCTCACACCAGAAGTGACTTGAAGTTTCTCAAGTTGCTCCTGACATGAAAAAAATGTATATAAGTATTTAAAATAAGAATAAAAACCAAACATTTACTGATCATAAATCAGCATTTGCAAAGCTTGCTAAACAGGCTGATTTTTCTTGTCATGAAGTACAGCTGAAGCATCCTCTGCAGAGTCCACTGTAAATGCTGCATGTTGTTGCTAACAAGTTCATGCAAATATCTGAAAGAGCTACTAGGTGACAAAGCTTTATTGTTGCCAATTTTTTTGTGGCCCCAACATTGAGTGAAGCATTGGGACCATTTGGGATCAGGACCCACAGTTTAAGGGTCAGTGACTTTGACTACTTATCAGTCCTCCAATTTGGCCCACATCCTAAACCCAGAAATGTTCAAGGCCTTCTCTGTGATGGGACAGCAAGCTGAGCCAGTGTTTTGTGAGCTCACCTTCATTTACAGGATGTCTTCTGTATTCTCTTCCAGGCATATTCAGCACATTGGATGGGATCCCAACAATGGCTTTGATGTACGTAACCATAGTGGTTCATTGGTGTGCTTGAAAGAGGGAGAAATGAAACTGAGATGTCTGGAGGTCTGGGCTCCTGTAGTTGAGCTGAGATTTGTGTTTGCGTGTGTGAATTACCTGTGTGCCCCAGCCCTTAGGAGATGTCAAGACATGAAACATCTTCAATTTCAGTGTGTTGGCAGATATTTTTCCTACTTTTGCAATTAAAAACAAACAAAGGGAAAGTGAGTTCAGTTTGTTGCTTTACAACAGCTGGCAATTTTGGACAGAAATCAGAAGTAGCTATAGGGCTGACTGAATATCACTTGCTTTACTTGGTTAATTTCCTTATTATATGGAGTTAGGCTTGAGCTGAAACACTAGGATAAGAAAAGAAGGGTCTTTATCTCTTCTTTCACCAACCCCCCAATTTCCCTTTACAGGGTTCAAAGTGCATTTTAAAACTCAAACATATTTGGAATTTGTAGCAGGGAGCGAGTACGGCACCAAGGAATTGCGCAGTGAAAGAAAAACAGTGAACAGAGAGAAAAAAGAACTCTTTCTTATCTTCTTTTTATCTGAATCACTCCCTCGCCTCACAAATTTTTTTCCTCTAATGGAAATGGTGGTTAGAGGTTTTATCTGATTTGAATGGGATTAAATGGCAGTGTAGACTCATATAATCCAGTTCAAAGTAGATAATCTGGATTAAGAAACTGGATTATATAGCCGTATAGATATAGCCTGGGAGGGGATAAATCTAGTCTTCCACAGGCCAGGAGCAGCCACTCTCTCCTGTGTCCGTTCCAAATGTGTCTGTGAAAGTGGTGGAACCAAAGAAAAGCTGTCTTCAAAAATAGTAAAAAAAGAAAGAAAAGATATTGACGTATGTCTATTTTTTAAAATTTCAGGTGAATAATTTAGACCCTGATTTGAAGACACTTTTCTCCCAGGCGGGCATCAGTGAGGCCCAGTTGACTGACGTGGAGACATCAAAGCTCATCTATGATTTCATTGAAGGCCAAGGAGGACTGGAGGCTGTGAAGGAAGAGATCAGGCGACAGGGTGAGCTGCCAGACTTGGGTGTATCTGTATCTCTAAGGTATTTTCTGTAATGCAGGGGTTAGATAGTGTTTCTTCTGCATTACAAGAGTGGCATATTTTCTAACATTTTTTTAAATTTTGCATATTCCAACTTTTTAAAAAAATGGCATCTTTTAAAAGTATTTCTTTAATCATTAAAAAAACACAACGTTTTTCTACACAGAAAAGGATATCCTTTGTGTAAAACCAATTGTTTTCCTTATAAAAATATGTACTTGCAAAACCCACAAGGCTTTAAAAAATCATGTTCCAATATTGAAAAAAATAGTTCAGAATTTTTTTTGAGAGGGGTGTTTCAGTGTGCCAAACACCTTTCTTGGTGAGGATATTGAAATGAATACATGTATACTGCAGTGCTACTGCCAAACTTTTAACTTTGGTATTATTGATATCAGTGTGTGCAGTCAGTGTGTGCAGTAAAGCCAACTTTATATCTTAATCCCTACCTACTACTGCAAAAATAATTAAAATGCTTTCCTATGTGGATTTTCTTTGGTTTGGGCATGGATGGACTGATACAGCCCCGGTGGCGCAGTCGGTTAACTCCCTGTGCTGGCAGGACTGAAGACCGACAGGTCGCAGGTTCGAATCCGGGGAGAGGCGGATGAGCTCCCTCTATCAGCTCCAGCTTCTCATGCGGGGACATGAGAGAAGCCTCCCACAAGGATGATAAAAACATCTAATCATCCGGGCGTCCCCTGGGCAACGTCCTTGCAGACGGCCAATTCTTTCATACCAGAAGCGACTTGCAGTTTCTCAAGTCGCTCCTGACATGATTTTTAAAAAGTGGGCCTGTGGTATCTGCTGTGGTTTGAATCTCTCCACCCCCAGACACATAAGTGGATACTAAAATCTGTGGTTGCTCAAGTCCCATTATATAAAATGGTGTTGTAAAATAGCACACCTTTAATAACAGGCAAGGTCAAGGTATGCTTTTTGGAATATTTTCCAGCCATGGGTGATGGAATCTGTGTGTGCAGCATCCATTAATATGGAGATCCAACTATAATAACTTGAAGAGTGGTTGCTATGCTAGTTTCTTGTTGCAATGAAAACAACCAAGAGTTCAGTGGCAATTTAAAGACTCGTTGAATGTTGATGGTGTAAACTTTTGTGGAACAGCAGAATTTGTTATATCAGAGACCTGAAGTGTTATCTTCAGTTGCTGCAGATCCTGATATCAATAATAGATACTGTTCCATCATCTGGGTGGAGGCCACAAGGAGGCGCTAGAGAGAGAAGGATTCTCCCATTTATAGGGGTGGAGGGTGGGTTGAAGGAGGAAAACCATTTCCCCCTGATTTCCTGTTATTTCTCCCACCTATGTCTCCATCATGGAAACAACCCTCATTTATTATATGGGAAGGGGGAATGACCAGCGAAATGGGGAAAATGGTTTTCCTCCCTCAACTCCCCTCCATAAATTGAACAGTCTTTCTCTCTCTAGCTCCTTCTGATGGCCTCCACCCGGATAATGGAACAGTACCCAGTAATATTGCCTAAGAAATAGTTCACTTTACAGTGCGGTTAAATCCAAGCACACATGTCTATAAACTTGAATTAAAACAATGGCTTCTTGCCCTAGTGCAGGTATTAACACAGGCATGGGCACAAAGATATAGGAATGTAATTCCCAGGAGCCCTAGCCATCATAGCCAATAGTAAATAGTGCTGGGAACTGCAATCCAACAATATCTAGAGGGCTGTTTTCTGCCCACAGAAAGGAGATGGATACATTTTCATCACCATCTACTGCAGTTCTGCGCTCTCACTTTACTTGTCCTATATATGCAAAGTTTCATATAATCACAGACTATGCTTTTTTGCATTCCAAGGTTGTTTGGCCCTATTGTTTGGAAGTATTTGTATTAGTGTTAAACATTAACAATAATTTGGTGCCACTCCTTTCGACCCCCCCCCCCCCCAATTATGAGGAAAGCACTCTATATGTCAAATGAAGGGGACTCTGCCTAAGACTATTAGGTGTGTAACAACCAAACTTTTTTGTTGGGTGATACAAAAACCATTCTTGTTTCTACTAGCTTCTATGTGATTCACACAACAAAGCAGATAATGTACTATAAGATTTTATACATACACACACATATATGCTGATAGCAATTGCTCAAGGTGGCTACTGAGATTTAAACACCTGTATTTATCTCTTTTCAGGTCCGAGCCATCCTCCTCCCCCTCCCCCAGGTCGTTCTGGCCCCTTGCCCCCACCTCCAGGCCACAGCCGAAGCAGTCCTCTTCCCCCGATTCCAGGAGTCCCACCTGTCTCAAACAAGGCCCCCATCCCTCCCACACCGCAGCCCCCTCGTGGACATCCCAATCAGTGGGCACCCCCTCCACCTGCTTCTCGTGGTGGGCCCAGCCGTCCTCCCCCACCCTCCGCTGGAGCAGTCCCAGCCCCACCCCCGCCTCCCCCACCCCCTCCGCCCCCACCCCCTCCCCAAGGTCAGGGCCCAGCTCCCTGTGCCCCCCCTCCTCTTCCTTCCGGGGGATTTCCTTCTCCAGGAACTCAGCCTCCTGCCCCTTCCATGGGCCGTGGTGCATTGCTGGATCAGATACGGCAAGGAATACAACTCAACAAGGTGAGAGGTATTGGAGAAACTAGGGGCCTCATCACATTGTGATATAATCCATTTATATCACTATGCATCCCACGTGTGTTTAGGACTGAATGCATACTGTATTGAGACAGGATGCATACTCTCCCCATCACACCCAATTATTATGATTCTTACCCTTTGAAAATGCTGCACTTTGACTCATTACACCACAGAAGGCTAGCTCTTCCCAATCCGTTCAAATGCCTCCTTACTTCACTTTCCCCCCACTAATATTGCACAGTGACATAGCCTGGAAGTCTTGAACTACCGTTTTCACAAGTTTAGCAGATGGAATGCATATTGATTTTCAATCACATGCAAAAACAGTGCCTCAGAAATGTATAAAAAGCACAATTACAATCCCATTTGCAATTACTCTGTTTCTGCAACATTTTACAGACCGATTCCAACTGATTACTGTTAGAATGGGAGAAACATCATGAGATGGGGCCCATTAGAAATCATGTTCAAAGAGTTTCAGAAACAGAATACATCCCAATGCAATAAGGTCTTTAGTGAACAGGAAGTGTTTGGTATCTGTATGAGTAAGATTAGGAAAGAATTTCCCCTTCCATGCCCACCCTCAACCAGCATTCTCAAAGCGATTTTGCCTGTCTCTCAAGTCTTGGCTCATCAGAAGCTGTTCATTAAGTATGTTGTTTAGCATCGACTGCTCAAAGTGGCACAACTTCTGACAGTGATGGGAAGAGACATTGAATGGAAGAAATAATGATGTTACATTTATGTATTTCTCTCATTTAAGGGTGGCCTTAATGCATTAGATGTGTATATCTCCAGGTCAGAGGTGGGGCCTCAAAGCATGATGGACTCTGTGCTTGGGCAGAAGAAAGGAAAGATTCCTATACATGGCAAACTCACATGTCAGGAAGAACAGCAAGCTAAACACCTTCTTTGCAATTATTACCATTCTTTCAGATATTTTTTATTTTAAAAAAATCTGGCAATACTGTTCAGTTCATATGAGCCTTTTTGCATTTGAAGTACTGTAACTCAGACACAAGTTGCTATTAAGTCCAGTGAGAATCAGACCTAAATCTTTGCCGATTGCTATGCTGTTATGCTAGTTTGTTCTGCAGAAGAGGACTATGAGCAAGAATGGTTTCATTTACTCTAGTTTCCAGGGGTCTTCATCACAGTGAACCTTAAAGGCCACCCTTTATAAACCTCTCTCTCCATTTCAGACCCCGGATGTGTTGGACTCACCACCACCTGCTGAGAGCTCTGAAGGCCTGGTAGGGGCTCTTATGCAGGTGATGCAGAAAAGGAGCAAGGCCATCCATTCCTCAGGTAAGTTTGGGTACACAAACCAGCTTCTGATACAACCTACAAACAACTTCTAGTTTCTCAAAAGTTCAGATTTGTTTTTTAACTGGGGGGGGGGGATCCCCTTGAAGTGGGAGAACTATCTATATAATCAATTGATTCGGTGCAAGGGGTGAAATATTGAGTTTTCCCTTCGGGCTGGAACAAAGGGACCAAAACAGAGTGAAGTCATTATGGTCAACCCTCCACATATGCAAGGTTAGAGGCACAGGTCTTCTGTGAAAGTGAAAAACCATGAATAAGGAAACTGTTGTTTTTAACACCTATCTAGGAATTTCTAGGTCCACCAACATGATTCTATGGTCAATGTACACTGGAAATTGATTGAAGAATCACATTGGAGAACCTAGAGAGTCCTAGAGGTGACATTTTAATAAGAGCTGTGGATAATAAAATCTGCAAAAAGTCTTGAACAAGTGTGGAGGGATGACTATAATGTTAGTAGGTGAATGAATATACATGACATGCATATTGTCTTCTTTGGAAAGAGGCAGAGCAGGCATGTAGCTGGGGTGTGTGTGAAATTCTCACAATGGTCCGTGAGAAGGCCTTACTGATGCATTATTTAAACTGTTATGTTTATTCAGATCATGATCTGATCACCATACTCAATATATCCCATTTGCATGGGGGTATTGGGTTAACAATACAAAAGGTTTGCTAGGGTAGACCTTCTTTCGCTCAGACTCAACCCCCACTCCCGAATCAAACTCAGCCCCCCCCCCCCAAAATCAAAATCCTGGCTACAGGCCTGGGGCAGAAGATGTATTATTATGTGTTATTGCTCATGGCTCCTCACTCATAACACAACTACCCTGTTATTTTCCCACAGATGAAGATGAAGACAATGGAGATGAAGATGAAGATGATGAATGGGAGGACTGAGTTAGAAGGAAGCCTGGCACAAAGCCTGATCCTTCTGTCAACCTGTTGATGAAACTGCTGTGGGCTTCTAGTCTTGCGCCTTCTTGCAAGATGTGCAGATTGTTCTGGTATCCAAGAGATGTTGGGGCAACTCTGTTTTAGTATTGACAGCAAAGGACCATTATTTTCCCTTCCTCTTTTCTGGCATCACTCAGGCCTAAGCATAATTCCCATTTTCTTCCCACAGTTCTGCACCTGGATGTCTTTGACAGTTTTCGAAAGTGGGGATGTAATCCCACCTTTTTCAAATTTTGCCTTGACAATACCACTCTTAATCTGCAGTTTTTACCTTTCTAAGAAAGATATCAACTTTCACCCAACCCCCTCATCTTTCTTTCTTTTCCCACCCAGCCATCTAGTCATTTCCATCATGTGGGCCCCCTTTGAGGCTAGCATGAAAGTACAAGGTTGATAGGTGAGAAGAATGTAAGAAAAACTGCTTTTGTATAAAATATCCTGTGCATTGAAATCTTAGTTGTCTAAATTCTTTGCAGAGTTTTAAAGATATACATAGATTATTTTGCATTAGCATTTTTGGTATGTATTGGGGTAGAGGGAGGCAAACAATAACTAAAGCTGTCGTTCCCAACCTTTTTGCCCTGAAGGAATCCTTGAAAATCATTGTGATTTCAAGGATTATTTCAAGAAAAATGTTATATCTACAGCTTTAAAAGGGGTTTCTTTCTCAATTAAATATCTCACAGAAGCCACAGCAAGTTTTTGTGGAGCCCTATGGATGGCTATGGACTCCGCAATAAAAATCAAAGTGACCATGAAGCATGGCAGAAACATTTATTGAAGTATGTGTGGGGAACCAGATTTGTCTAGCTTAAAAAATCTTGTTTCAAAAATCACACACTCACAGAGCGATATCGTCTTATTCAAATTGCAACCTCCTCCATACTCGATCCTCTACCTCTTGGACCAGTTGTTTAAGGGACATAAGTGCATCTTAACTAAAGATGGGATGTGCAGGAAAATTCAATTTCATAAACTTTGTTCTGTCCAAGGAAAGGACATTGCTTCTGCTCTAATGTCGCTGGGAAGGGAGTTCTACAGCTGAGAGGCCACCACTGAAAAGGCCCTGTCCCATGTTCCCACCAGTTACACCTGCAAAGGGGGTGAAACTGAGAGCAGGGCCTCCCCAGAAGATTTTAACATCTGGGCTGGTTCATTGGGGGGAGATACATTCAGACAGGTAATAATCATGATAAACTTTATTTATACCCCGCCACCATCTCCCCAATGGGGACTCGGGGCGGCTAACATGAGGCCACGCCCAAAAAACACAATACAACACAATAAAATAAAATACAGAATGTAAAAACTTAACTTACATAAAAAATAATTAAAACAAAACAATAAAGCAAATGATCACAAAATAAAAGATAAGATGGGTCAGAACCATTTAGGTACAATTCAGGAGCACTGCACAGGAAATCCTAGCTTCACCCTGGGTATTTGGGGGATGTGGATAAAGTTGGGGCAATATGTTAAGAGGCACAAACCATCGCTGAATATTCTTTGCCGAAGAAAATCCTTTGAAATCCCTGAAGTTGCCATACGTCAATAGGCACCTTGAAGGCACAAACGCATTAAGTGTGTCCAAAATCAACGACTATGAGCATTCTAACCAGATGTGTAGAAGGGAGCTCCATTTCCATCATCCTTTTCCACAAAGTGGAGATGGGATTTGTGATAAATCATTTGACTGGGCTAGAGATTTGGGAATGCAGCAATGTGACTTTTTTACTTTGTACAGAAATAACTTTCATCCATATTTGCAGCCTGAATTCAACTTCATCTGTAAAGGCTGTTTTTAATTGAGCATCTACAATAAATTTATCTCTGTCTACTAATTCTTGAAACCGAATATTGATATTGCCTAACACTGATATCAAATAATGTCTCAATAATTTGTACTGACCCTGGTTGTCTATAGACATTAGGGTTAAGTTTTTTGAGGCACAAAAGAGAGGACTGTTGTGAAAAAATATGTATACAGTTCCGAAAGCTAGCAGGACTTCCTTGTTGCACCATAGCAAGGAGGGGCAGATTTCTGAGGAAGAGAAATCTACAACCGTGTCCTCTGTGGTCACAGGCCTCTTAAACAAACTGCGCTTCTTCAGATTGTGCCTGTCAGTGTTCATTCTTAAGTAACATCGACCTTCCGTTGTGCTGCCATCTAAAACATTTTGATTTATTCACTTTTAAAAAGTAAATACAGGCAGTGCCCAAGCTACGAACAAGATATGTTCTGCAGGTTTGCTCTTAAGTTGAATTTGTTTGTAAGTTGGAACATGTACATTTTAAGTATAACTCCAGCCAAAAATATGTATTGTTTAGCTTTGGATAGCAAAGGGAAGGGTTAACACTCATGTAATGTTTGTTTGGTTGTCTGTGCTCCTGTTAAGAAGATTTCACCTCACTTTCTATCTCTGTGAGAATTGGATTTTGAAAAATGTGGCTTTTTGTGGAAAAAAGGATTGGTGCTAACGATTCAGACTTTCTGTATATATTTCAGATTTCAATATTAATGTAAAAAAAATACATAGTATGATATTACATAGGATTTGTGCTGCATTAGAACAGTAAAGACAAATATCACTTAAGTAAAATAAACATTAAATATTAAATAACCAGAAATAAGTAAAATAAGGTGTAAACACTATACTAATCTGGGAATCTGCTATTGCAACACATCCAATGAAGTGGTTTAAAACCAGTATAAAAAAGATTAGGACTAAGTACGTTCCAGTCTACTTGGAATACACGAAGCTCATTCCAGAAGTGTGTTTAAGAACTGGTCCAAGAGTCTAGAAGAGCCTTGACTCGCAATGTGACCATCATCTCACTTTCTTTGCTAGTTAACTTGTACCAAGTATTTTTATTATACCAATTGTTTGCCTTAGATAGTTGAGCAAATGGTTTTCATGGATGCCTCTCACTAGCATTGGGGCGAAAACTGGGGGTTTGTTGGCGATTCCATGTAAGATTTGAGTTTGTATGCAGTGCCCCTGTCAACTTCCATGGAAAACTGTTTTCCGAGAAAACAGGAGCCTTACGTCTCTGTAAAGGTAGATCTTTCCAGACTTTGAACTCTGGAACCATAACTCTTCCAGGAGTGAATTTCCCTTCCTAAGGGTGGATTTCCCTCATTTCCTGTTGCCTCACCCCTGTTCTTAACTATGAGTCATTTGTAAGTCGGCTGTTTGTAACTCCGTACATTAACATATATCAAAATCTTTCAAAGAGACTTCCTTCTAGTTTTTAAAGAAGACGTGTTTACTAGAAGTCTCCCTTTCCCCCTCTGTCTGTACAGAATTGGCAGGCCAGAGCCTCTCCATATAAATAGTCCTAGGTGAATGTTAGCAAGACATACCTTAAGCAACAATTTATGAGAATCTCTATAATAAAGAGAATAACACACTGCTCTGCACTGCAGAGTACAGTCTGGAGGTGCAGATTAGAGGATAAAGAAAGCAGCACTGGAGACCAACCCCTGGAGACCTTCCTGCCCCAGAGACCACCTCTTTTGGATCATTAGAAGCCCCAGGGCTTCCCTGCCCAGCTAGGAGATCCCCAGCCGTGTCATCGCCACCTCCACCAATCAGCATGTCCAATTTGTATTGTTATATTGTCATTCTTGTTCGGGCTTGGCCCCATGTAAGCCACTCCGAGTCCCCTTTGGGGAGATGGTGGCGGGGTACAAATAAAGTTTATTATTATTATTACACTGGCTAAGGTCTGCCTCTTGACCAATCAAAGGCCTGGGAAATACTGGCCAGTTTTCTGGTGCTGGCCAATCAGGAGAATGGGAGAGAATTTCGAACAGCAGCAATGTTAATGCATGGAAACTCTTATGTATAAAGATGCCTGCTTTTTCCTTGTGCTTTACGCATGTACCCTTTGAACACCCGCTGTTGTACAAGCATCCCTTCTACAGATTGAATAAAACTTCACTTTGGTGAGATCCTGATTTCTGACATGGAACATTAACAGTTACTGCTGCTCACCAGGCTTCCCTCAATAGCCATAGGTTCTTGGAAAATCTCAAGTTTTCAGCATCAGTGTCAAACTGCATTGTAGATACATCCATAGCTGACAAGTCACCAGTAAAAACATTTAATGCAGAGGCTGTTCTGTGTTAAAAATGTATTCTAGCAATCAGATTTAGCCTGGAAAAAGAGAAAAATGCAAGCTGATATGAAAGCAGTTTACAAATATTTGAGGGACTGTGACATGTTTGAATGTGAAGGAATTTTCCTTAATATTGTACTGCTCCTCAGATGACGAGCCAAACCACTGGTTTCAAATTACAGGTAAGGAGATTCCAGATAAGAAGTTTGTAATAGTACAGCTGTGAGACATTGGGCTCCCTTGGAAAGTGGTAAATTCTCCTTCGTTGAAAGTCTTTAAACAAGAGCCCGGTGGTTGCATGTCAATGTGATGCTTTCACTGCAGATTCCAGTGCTGGCAAGGGGATGGAGACAACTCTTGCGGCAACTTATAACTTTCACATTCTGCATTTCTGTGTGAAGCTAATCTGGGAGGAGTCAGTAAATTTCCAAATTGTCTGACGAGATAATGGGGAAGTTGAACGGTATTGCTTCATAAGCCTTTGTGGTTGCAATTTTGTGTCCTCTCACTGAATTTAGACTTCTGAAAAAACAGCCATAGCATTGGGATGTAGACCATTAAGTAATTCTGTGGCATAGTTCTGAGTCTTGGAGCCTTGTTTGCCTGCAAGAGCCTCCCTTGCTAGTGATTGCTGAAAGAACATGTTTGGTTTACATAAATTATTCCTTACACAACACAACATTCTCAGGCACTTCCTTCTTCTACTACTTTTTGGTTGAATGTAATAAATCAGTTAAGAACCTAGTCCCTGAGCTACAAAGAACCTAGCCCCTGAGGTAGGCGAATATGTTATTTTCAAAGGACTTCAACAATAATCCTGGCCAGTTCGAGGGCTTAAACTATTGCTGACCGATCAGACAAATATTAGTCATTTTAACCCTATAATTTTTTCTCTCCATTCATTGTTTCCCGCTTGACCCGCATCCTCTCTTCCCATTGGCTGAGAGGCCAGAGCGACGCTGGCTCTCTGATTGGGCAAAGCGCAGCTGAGCTGGCCATGCCTCCCAGCCAGCGAAGGACTCCAACCAATCAGCGAAAAGCCAGCTAGGGGAGCGGGAGCGAGAAATTTGAACTTGACAGCTCTGTATTTCCTATAAAAACTGTGTTATTTTGCCTTGTGGCTCATGTCAGCTTCTGGGCAAAAGATTGCGGTTTGATATCTGTTCCAGCTGGAATGAAATAAACATCTCAGTGGCTTCTTCTTCAACTTAGTGAGATTTGGAAAAATAGGGAAAAATTCTTTTGGGTGCTCTTGTCTCGCCAGGTGTCCAGATCCTCTTTGGTGGGTCTGGCTGGTCCTTGCCTCAGCAGGACCCCTTAAATTCATGTTCGACATCACATGGAGGCACCCTGCCCAGGAGTTGTAAGGCAGCGGGGCCGAAGAGGTGTTGCTATGGCCCCACGCAGGTGTTACTATGGCCAGCAGTGGGTAGAATCCAAGAAGAGCATGGATGAGCTCCCTCTGTCAGCTCCAGCTCCCCATGTGGAGACATGAGAGAAGCCTCCCACAAGGATGGTAAAACATCAAAACATCTGGGCGTCCTCTGGGCAACGTCTTTGCTGACGGCCAATTTTTTCACATCAGAAGTGACTTGCAGTTTCTCAAGTCACTTCTGACACTAAATAACAAGTGGATTACTTCAGGATGACTTTCTGAGCTGAAACTCGCTGCACTGAATGTCTTTGCTGAGGCACAGAATAAAGGTAAAGGTTTTCCCCTGACATTAAGACCAGTCAAGTCCAACTCTGGGGGTTGGTGCTCATCTCCATTTCTAAGCCGAAGAGCCGGCGCTGTCCGTAGACACCTCCAAGGTCATGTGGTCGGCATGACTACATGGAGCGCCATTACCTTTCCACTGGAGCGGTACCTATTGATCTACTCGCATTTGCATGTTTTCGAACTGCTAGGTTGGCAGAAGCTGGGTCTGAGAGCGGAAGTTCACACCGCTCCCCGGATTCGAACCTGCGACCTTTCGGTCAACAAGATCAGCAGCTCAGTGCTTTAACTCACTGCACCATCGGGGGGGGGGGGGGGGGGTGTTTCCATATATATATATATATAAATGGAGCCACATGACCTTGGAGGTGTCTATATATATATGGAGCTTGTTGACCGAAAGGTCACTGGAACTACCGCTGTCAGACCCAGCTTCTGCCAACCTAGCAGTTCAAAAACATGGAAATAGATCAATAGGTACTGCTCCAGCAGAAAGGTAACAGTGCTCCAGGCAGTCATGCTGGCCACATGACCTTGGAGTTGTCTATGGACAACGCCGACTCTTTGGCTTAGAAATGGAGATGAGCACCACATCCCAGAGTCAGACATTACTGGACTTCATGTCAGGGGACAACCTTTACCATATATAAACCACTGGATAAATTGACACCAAATTTGGACACAATGAAAAACACAGCGGAAGGGACTTTAAAAGCCAAACAAAAAACAAAAACAAAACAAAAAACAAAAATGCAATACCACACATATATACATGCAAACACACATATATACACAAACTAGCTGTCCCCTGCCACGCGTTGCTGTGGCCCAGTCTAATGATCTGGAAAATAGAGTAATGAGAAAGTGTTGGTTTCTAATATATGTAATTTCTTTCTGGTTGTGGGTAAACAGTATTTCTTGCTGTTTCTTTGTCAGTGTTGATGTGGAGTGTCTGGTTTTCCCACCCTGGAACATGCAACATATAATTGTCCTTATTTAAGGGTCCCTTTCAAATCTATGATACTATATCTGTGTGTGTGTGAATCCTATCTATCTATCTATCTCTATCTATCTATCTATCTATCTATCTATCTATATTTATGGCTTGATGGCTCTTTGTCAGGAGTGCTTTGATTACGTTTTCTTGCCCTGGTGAAGGGAGTTGGACTGGACTGTATGGCCTTCAGTATTTTCTGTTGGTCATGGGGGTTCTGTGTGGGAAATTTGCCTCAATTCTGTCGTTTGTGGGGTTCAGAATGCTCTTTGACTGTAGGTGAACTGTGAATCCGTGACTACAACTCCCAAATGTCAAGGTCTATTTTCCCCAAACTCCCATCTTTGTTCATATTTGGGCGTATTGAGCCTTGCCGTACACCTTTCCCAATCTTGAACCAGTCTGTTGTGTCTATAGATATATATATAGACACAAAATACATCTACACAGACTAAGCCACAGCAACGTGGCAGAGGACAGCTAGTGTGTGTGTATATATATATATACATACATACACACACACCCTTTATATATTAAATGTTTGCGTGTGTAAAACCTGAAAAGAAAAAGAAGAGCTCTCAGGGACTCCCAATTCCCCTTCACGCCCAGTGGCAGGAAGGTGCTGCCCAGCAATCTAAATCTAGTTAGGGACGAGAAGGACGAGAAACGCTCCTTGACTTCCTATTGGGCGGGCGGCGCGGCTGAGGCTGAAGGGCAGCCAATCAGACAGCGCCACTGCTCCCGCCTCCCTCTCTGGCCCCGCCCCCAACCCGCCTCTCTTCCTCCAGTGGGATGAAAAGTTTCTGGCGGCCTCAGTGACTGGAAGGGGAGGGGGAAAAAAAAAGAGGCGCAAGATGGCGGAAAATTTAAAAGGTGAGTGGAAACCGCCGCCGCCGCGCGCGCGCCGGGCCGGGCTAGCTTTGCGCGAGACCCCTCGTTTGGGAACCTGGGGTTCGGCGGGTGGAAGCCGAGAGCCAATGAGCGCTGCGGTGTGAGAGCGGCGCGAGGCGGAGGTTCGGCGGCGACCGTTACGGGGCGGGGAGCGCGCGAGGGAGGGAGTGAGGCGGCGCAGGACGTGGCAGAGAGCGGGAAAAAGGAAAGGCGGAAGGCGGATAGGGATAGGGAGCCCTGAGGAGAGGGCAAGGGGAACGGGCAACCTTTGAGCGAGGCCACCTTGGCTGCGTTTCCCGCTCAGAGGATCCAATGTTGTTCCAAGTTCCACACAGAGGCAGTTCATGTGCCTCCCTGTCCGACTCTATGCCTCTCCTCAGCAGACACGACGCTCCTGGAGACCCTGTTCGTGCCCTCTTCACATTTCCGCCCTCCTTATCTTTAGCCGGGCCTCTGGCGTGCTTTCCACCATGTGCGTCTATCCCTTAGGGTCCTTCCACACAGCCCTGTATCCCAGGATATCAAGGCAGAAAACCCCACAATATCTGCATTGAACTGGGCTATCTGAGTCCACACTGCCATATATTCCAGTTCAACGCAGATAATATGGGATTTTCTGCCTTGATATTTTGGGATATTGGGCTTTGTGAAAGGGCCCTTACTCTGTATTGTCGAAGGCTTTCGTGGCTGGAATTACTGGGTTGTTGTAGGTCTTTCGGGCTATATGGTCATGTTCTAGAAGCATTCTTACCTGATGTTTCACCTGCATCTATGGTTGTGAGGATGCTTGCCATAGCTGCAGGAGAAATGTCAGGAGAGAATGCCTCTAGAACATAGCTATATAGCCCGAAAAACCTACAACAACCCGGCCCTTACTCTCCTCAGAGAGTAGGAGAACTCATGGAACTCTTCAGGATAACCTTCTGACGTGAAACTCGCCTCACTGAATGATTTTGCTGAGGTACATAATAATAATCATAATCAATAAAACTTTATACCCCACCACCATCTCCCCGAAGGGACTCAGGGCGGCTTACATGAGGCCAAGCCTGTCAAATAAAAATGCAACAATACATCAACAAACAAGCAAGCAAATAAAACAATATAAATAATACAGTTGAACATATAAGCAATAACACGCAAAAGATTTAATGGCAGGGCCAGTTGTAGATTAAAAGTTTAAAACCATGGGCGTGTACAGAGTAGGGTATGTCTAGGCATGGGGTTTTTAAAGTGTGATATGGGGGGATCAATCCAATGGATAAAGTGCTTCAGGGGACATATAGAAGGAAATTGGTCAGATAGGGCATTATTTCCTTTAATCAGGAAAGCCATGTTTTCAAGCTCCTCCTAAAGATTGCCAAAGTGGGGGCTTGCCTGATATCTTTAGGTAGAGAGTTCCAGAGTCGGGGGGGGGGGCACCATAGAGAAGGTCCTCTCCCTCGTTCCCACCAATCGCACCTGCGAAAGGGGCTGGAGCGAGAGCAGGGCCTCTCCAGATGAAAGAAGAGATCGTGTGGGTTCGTTAACAGAAATGCGGTCACAAACTGTGGTCCCTGTCAAATTCTTGAGGCGTCCTGTCAGATGTGTATTTGTTCAAAATTTTGTTTGACCCACTCTTCTACGTCCAAGGACCCTTCTACATAGCTGTATAAAATCCCACATTATCTGTTTGGACTGGGTTATATGTCTGTTTGGACTCAGGGCCCTTCCACACAGCCATATAACCCAGAATATCAAGGCTGAAAATCTGCTTTGAACTGGATTATCTGAGCCCACACTGCCATATATTCCAGTTCAAAGCAGATAATGTGAAATTTTATTCAGCTGTGTTGAAGGGGCACAAGTCTGCAACAATAATAGCATATAAAACTTTGAAGGAGGGAAGATTGCTCCTGTTTCCAGGTTTGCAATCTAAAAACATTTTTAGCATTATAATTATTTCCCGGGATTCAGCAACAGGAGTGGAATAGAACTACTACATCACACTAGAGAATGAATCCACTTTGAATCTGTTTTCTGCCTCCAGCAGAATTCTGGGGTTTGTAGTTTAGGGAGGAAACTTTAACAGCCTCACTAAACTACAAACCCCAGAATTCTGCAGGAGGCAGAAACTGGATTTAAAGTGGATTCATTCACTAGTGTGATGAGGCCCCTAGTAGACATTGCCATTGACCAGTTCTTTGTTTGAGCCAATTGACCATGGTGGATCTTCCATCATTTATTAATGCTGACCATAGACAACCACACTGGTGGATCTTGAAGAACCATACAACTATACAATTACTTCAACTCCCTCTTTCCCCGAAACAGGGTACAAAAATATCCGGGCACCCCTGTTGAATACCATTTGGACTTTTCCTACAGAGATTTATTTTGAGAAGCAGTGCTCCATTTTCACTGGACTTGATTTGGATTTATTCCATGAAGATTTTTGAGAGTGGTGCTCCATCTTCATTATTGACTTCAGTATACATATAGCCTCATGACTCTATGCTTACTTACTTTTACCTCAGAAGGGAAACTGCATCCCGAAAGAGTTATCATGAGGACAAAGGTGTCTCAACTGAAGCTTCCTCACCAATCCTTGTAACCACAACAAGACACATTCTTCAAAAATTAATTACTTGCATATAATATTTTAAAGACACCATGATCACAAAGATCTGGAGTGGATAATGTTGTGGTGATGCCAAATCACAATGATACCTAACCTTTCACCCAGATCGTATTTAGTGCTGATCTTCAGCCGAGTGTTTTCAACTTTATTTTCTTGAAAAGAATGAAGATTTTGCAGGTGAAAGGCAAACTGTTTGAAACAAATTTCCTAAAGGATTTGCTAGGTTTTCCAGCTGTGGTACACATAATTTCATTATATATATATTTTATTTTTGTGTCAGGAGTGACTTGAGAAACTGCAAGTCACTTCTTGTGTGAGATAATTGGCCATCCTTAAGGATGTTGCCCAGGGGACGCCCGGATGTTTGATGTTTTACCATCCTTGGTGAGAGGCTTCTCACATGTCCCCGCATGGGAAGCTGGAGTTGACAGAGGGAGCTCAACCAGCTGTCCCCCAGATTTGAACCTGGATTCTTTATGAAAGGCATGCCATGCTGCACAGCAAAATACCTCCTGCACAGCAAAATATGCAGGGCTGCCTTATATTGCATCAGATACTTGTTCATCTAGTTGGGTTTCTCTGTTGACCAACAGCAGGATGTCAGCCTGACCTGGAGATGTAAAGGATTGAACCTTCTACCTGTAGAAGGTTCTGCACAGCTGTACAAAATCCACATTGAACTCGATCATATGACAGAGTGGACTTGATAATCTAGTACAAAGATATTGTGGACTAGCCGTCCCATGCCACTCATTGCTATGGCCCAGTCTGTGTATATGTGTTTTGTGTGTGTATATTGTGTATATATATATTTGTGTATATGTGTATTTATGTGGTTATGAACATGGGTTGTAATGTCATTTTTGTTTTTTGGCTTTTTACGTCTCTTCCGCTGTGTTTTCCAGTGTTTTTTATGAGTGATGGTCACTCGTTGGCCTGATAGGTGTATTGTGTCCAAATTTGGTGTTAATTCATCCAGTGGTTTTTGAGTTATGTTAATCCCACAAATAAACATTACATTTTTATTTATATAGATTCTCTGTCTTGATCTGCTGGGTTATATGGCTGTGTGGAAGGGCTTTTAGTGCTTGTTAATTTTCTCTATGCAGTGGAAAGAACTGTGTTCTTTAAAATTATGTGGGCCTACTAACCAGTAAGGGAAAGGTAAGGAGGTCCTGTTTGCCTATGTGGATTAACCAACACTTGGCTCTTGCCATCTTGGTACTCTCTCTGGTGTAATGAAGCAAACTCCTTTCATGGCCTGTTTTGGCAGCTATTCATCCTGACTTTCAGGAAATCAGAATGAAGTTCTTTTACTCCATTCTTCCCATGCAATGTGTTTGCCTTAAAGTCTATTTCTTAAGTGTTGCAAGCTGCTGATCATTTTTTGATGTTTTATAAATAACAATCGCTACAGATGGATTAACAAACTGAAGCTGGAGAATTAAAGCAAGATTTAACTATTAACAGTGAAAGTTGGGAGGTGTTTCTTCAAAGAAGTATTTTTAGATTGTTGTTTATAAAATCGGGAAATCATTCTATTATTTTTATTATCTGAACTGATTTAGAGAAACTGTCAAACTAAGAATGATTCTATCCTTTGGATTTAAAATTGATAATAGTATAAATGAATGTTGCTTGGACATTTATGGGAAAAAGCTAGTACACAGGGTTGTAAGGTGTAAGCAACGATCTTGACTGCTATCAAAATGTACAAGGTTGGATCATGAGTTTATTCATTTATTTATTTACTATATTTCTATACCGCCCTTCTCAGCCCGAGGGCAACTCAGGGCGGTTACATCCACAGTTCTTGTTAAGGAGTACTAATTTGAGTTGCATTATGTAAACAGTCAAAAGCTCTATGGTGACTGAATTTCTTTTAAGATTCTTAGTCATTAAGTGCAATTCTGTGATCAAGTTACAGACAAATTATAAAAGTAAAATAATGTGGCAGAGTATTACGGTTGATACTGGGTGGGAACTGAAGTAGAAAGGTAAACCTAGATGTGTAGTGTGTGCCTCTAAGGGCCCTTCCTCACAGCCATATAACCCAGAATATCAAGGCAGATAATCCACAATATCTGCTTTGAACTGGGTTATCTGAGTTCATACTGCCATATAATCCAGTTCAATGTGGATTTTATACAGTTGTGTGGAAGAGGCCTAAAGTCATTACGCAACCTTTTTTGAGATAGTGTTCCTAATCCCTTCACCAAACATCAGGAACATGGATTGAACTTCTGAGGATTCTCTTTCTCTTAAGAAACTAATTAAGGGCCCTTCCACACAGCCATATAATACCAGAATATCAAGGCAGATAATCCACAATATCTGCTTTGAACTGGGTTATCTGAATCTATCTACACTGCCATATGTCAGCTCAATGAGGATTTTATAGATCTGTGTGCAAGGGACCTAAGATGCTTGGTAAGATCAGCAGATAATCTACTACTCCATAAAAAAGGCAAAAGGTGTATTACTTTAAACAGCACATTTGTCCTCTTTTTTTTGTAGCTTGTACTGTTTGCTGTAAGTCAACTTGGTCCCAGCTTCAAGATCTGTGTCGTTTGGAGAAGCTGTGCTGCCCAAACTTGGGTATTACCAGAAAAAACCTTTGTGATTTTGAAGTGGAATATCTGTGTGACTACAAGAAAGTCCGTGTGAGTTTTTCAAAGCATTAAACTTACTTCTTCCTTTGAATTGGGTTTCCCCAGTTCCCAGATGTCAGTTCATTGACTGAAATTAAAAAATTAAAGTTGGCATAATCAGACAGTCATGCTTTTTTGGGATGAAAGTGTAGTCTATTACAGAATTATTACTATTAGAATGGGATGATGAAGAATTTCTGTATTCTCTGTGGGATTCCTAGGTTCTGATTTTGGCTTTGGGTTGAGTAGACAACAGGAGGACAGATTATTGGGAGATACTGCTTTCTGGTGTGTGTTCTGGGAAGTGAATTGGTGGGATATAAGCTGACACTATACATGGTTATCTCTTACCCAGGATGAGGAGTACTACCTGGTGAAGTGGCGGGGCTACCCTGAGTCAGATAACACCTGGGAACCCAGGAAGCACCTGCGTTGCATCAACATACTGAAACAATTCCACCGCGACTTAGAACAAGCCTTTATCCGGCGAGGAGGGAAACTCAGGAAGAACATTAGCTTGCTAGACCAAGGCATCTCCAGCTACCTGGTGCAGAAGGCTAAACAGCGGAAAGCTTTGCAAAATTGGGAGTATGAGCTTAATGTCAAACGCAACCACAAGGGACGGATTGTGGTAGAAAATGAGGTGGACATGAGTGGGCCACCCCGGGACTTTATCTACATTAATGAATATAAGGTCGGGGAGGGCATCACTCTCAACCAGATGGCTGTGGGATGTGAGTGCTTGGACTGTCTGTCAGAAGCAGCTGGCGGTTGCTGCCCTGGTGCCTCCCACCACAAATTTGCATATAATGAGCTGGGCCAAGTGAAGATCAAGGCTGGCTTGCCCATCTATGAGTGCAATTCTCGTTGCAGCTGTGGGATGGATTGCCCCAACCGGGTGGTACAGAAAGGCATTCGTTACGACCTTTGCATTTTCCGGACAGCTAATGGACGTGGCTGGGGTGTGCGCACGTTGGAGAGGATACGCAAGAACAGCTTTGTTATGGAATATGTGGGAGAGGTAGGATGAGCAGGCATGAGTCAGAGATTTCCTCTTGATCCAGCATATAAAAAGAAATACAAATTAAACCTAGGTGACCTGTTCCATGCCATAAGACTTAATTAGCAATGGCCTGTATGCCTGTGGTATGTTTGAAGTTTGAGATTTAGAAAAAAAATGCAGAGATTGGTATTGCAAATTAAAAACATTGAATGAATTAATAGGGTTGAAATCCTATAAAGGCCTATTCTTATTGAACTCTGGGGAAGTCATTTCTGAATAGACATATATATAATTTTGCAACGTTATCTATTTTGTATATTTTTATTCAAAATGTAAAGACCTCAAATTGTAATACTTTCAAAGAAATACAAGAAGTATTGAATTTCAAATAATGCAGTTAAGATTATTGGGATTCAAACATTTATTTTAAATTTTTTGTTTAAACAACTTTTTTTACACTTATGAGGGTCTGGGGCCTATTTTGCCTTTCTAAAATGTTGACAGGCTATTCACCTCTCCCCACATTTCTCAAACTCTGAAAAAAAATCCAAAAAAATTAAGCTGCATCCTTAGAAGTCTCATTTTGATTTTTTATATGTAGCTTGCAGTTCAAATAGTATTTCCTGACTTGGTTTGGTGTAGAAAGGGTCACTTTTTTAATCAAGAAAAGGTTTCTAGGAAAGGGAAATCTGGGCTGAAATAGACCAGAGACAAAAAACAGCCTTTAAATAACTAGTTGTACCTCATTTCAAGGCATGCTTGCAATTTATTTGGATAAGTTTTTCTCCAGGGCCACAGAGGTTTGGAAATGCACTTTTTATTCCCCTGCCATAGTTTGTTACTGGCCAGACTATAAACAACTGAAAGCTCTTTGTCCTCTTCCATCTATTTCTGCTTTGATTAATCTCTTTCCTTGATTCTTACTGACTAATGGATTATAATTATTGAGTATTCCAGTTAGTTTCCAAGCAGCTCCTCACAACTCTCCATAAGGGCTAGCCATTATGTGCACATGCAACAGAGGGATAGGAATCTGACAAGTTATGTGCATGTCATGAAGCGCACACAATGGTCTAAAGTGGAGAAGTCTGCTGTGTTTATGTAAGGTCATCTGAATAGCCTTATTAGAGATACTAGAGAATTCAACATAAAAAATCCCTTGGAAACTTGGGGAAACAGCGGTATGGAGTGGGCCCACTCACTTTTTTATTTAACGGAAGCAAATAATTTGAATTCTAAATAGTAAGGAATGCCTGGCCTCTGATGATTCAAGTGGTGCAAGTAGAGAGAGAAACTTTCACCTTCAGAAAGAAATACAACTTGTAGATAACTTGTAATAGAGGCACTGCTTCCCAGACATTCAACTTGCTACCAACTGTGGAGCTGACAGGTGATCGGAAAGTGCTTGTCATATATACGCATTGTGAATGTAGCCATCTACTGAATAGCTGTGATATAGAAGTGCTTGCAATGAAAGTACCACTAAAGGAGAGGTGGCCAACATATATCTGTATATTGTATTTTATGGTCATTTCAGTAGTCAGCTTAAACTTGATAGGTTCTTTAAACGTCTAGAAATCCTATATTATGGTGGCAGTGGTTTGCTGTGAAAATGTGAGACTGATTGAGCTTTTGAATTTATGTGAAATAGTTGCAGCAGACTGGGTTTAATTTTTTTAGGATATGTTCAGAAGTGCACACACAGCATAGCATTACAAAAATCTTCCTCAGATTTGCAGGGCCCTGGAAGGAAATTTCATAACACAGAACTAAGAAAGCAGAAATGAATCTTTTCTGTAGTGCTCACTCTCTTCCATATCTCTGCCAGATCATCACATCAGAGGAAGCTGAACGGCGGGGTCAGATCTATGACCGGCAGGGTGCTACTTACCTGTTTGACCTGGACTATGTAGAAGATGTATACACAGTGGATGCTGCTTACTATGGCAACATTTCTCATTTTGTCAACCACAGTGTGAGTGTAGTCAATCCCAGGCCGTGGGTGATATGTCATCATAACTTTTAATGAGTTCTTAACGAGTATTCTCTGATTTCTGTTCTCTGCTGTAGTGTAATCCCAACCTACAGGTGTACAATGTCTTCATTGAAAATTTGGATGAGCGGCTTCCACGCATTGCCTTCTTTGCTACTCGGTGTATTCATGCTGGCGAGGAACTTACTTTTGACTACAACATGCATGGTGAGAGTGCTGTAGAATTTCAGAAACCTATTGTAGCTTGATACTGTATTCGGGAAATCAGAATGAAGACTATAAATTCTGTTTGATCTATTTAAATATTAGCTCAAAAATGTGAACAGGATTTATGTTGAGGAGAGGGCCACCGCATGTGTATTTGATTTTGCCCTTTGTGGCTTATTAAAAGGATGGGGTGGAGCTGACTGGATTGAGGAAATGGCCAGTGCCTTGCTAAAATGCAGCAGAGTTTCATCATTCCTAAAGGAGACTGTTATATGACTTCCTATTATTCCATTTAGATTTCCCCTGAATTAGAGCAGAACTGTTAGAAACTTAATTGTTCTTTTCTTATTCCTTTTAAGGATGTGTTAGGTTGGACCTACACTGTCATATAATGCAGTTTCTTAGTGCAAATTAATTTCATGGAACTGGATTATATGGCAGTGTAGACTCATATAGTCCAATTCAATGAAGTGAATCTGCATTCTGAAACTGCATCATATAACAGTGTAGATCAAGCCTTAGATAGCTACACATTAAAGAATTGGAAGATATTTGGGCTCTTGGGCTAATAAGAAAGCTTGTTATCAAGTTTAGTTTTTGCTATGAGATGTGTAATTACCCTAACCCTTAGCTATGTCTCCTGATACTGCATCGTAACACCTACTTTTTCAGCAGTGCATTTCCCTCTCCCCAACATAGCTGTTTTATCTGCCTGTTGAAGTGTGTTGAGGTACAGGGATATAGTTGGGTGCATCTCTGCTAATCTCTTGCTCTCCAACAAAATAGAAAGGGCTATGTTGGGAGTAGCTCTACTGCTGAACAGATAAGAGTTTGGGGGAAGAGGGCACTTTGGGTGATAGACAGGAATACAGGCAGTCCCTGGGTTACAAGCATCCAACTTACAAACGACCCATAGTTAAGAAACGGAGGTGAGACAATGGGAAGTGAGAGAAACCTACCCCTTGGAAGGGAAATTGACTTCTAGAAGAATTATCATGGGGAATGGGGTCTCCACTAAAGCTTGACATCATAATTACTTAACAGGATGCCAGCCAATAGTACACATGCTACAAAGTTAGAGCTTCTGATTCTCATATCTATACATACATTGAATAAATAAATATTTTCCACAGTGGATCCAGTAAATGAAGAAAGCACAAGAATGGACTCTAATTTTGGCTTAGTGGGAGGCCTTGGTGGCTCACCAAAGAAGCGGATGCGCATTGAGTGTAAGTGTGGCACAGAGTCCTGCCGGAAGTACCTCTTCTAGGTCTTTATTAATATTACTTGGAAAATGTCTGATCAGGCTTGGACTGAGAGTGAAGAAGAAAAAAAGTTGGCATTTGCTGAAAGACTGCAGAGGTGAGAGTTGGGAACTTATCTGCTTGAAAAAACAAGTGACCACAACTAGGAATTATAAAGAGGGCAATCACCCATCTCTCCTGTGCAACCCAGCTCTATGTGACTGCTTCTCACTCCATACCAGAGTGTTCTTATAGCAAGGTTTTGCTTGTCAGAGTTGCTGCTGAGATGATGTCTGGAAAAAAACTACAACATAGGAGAGAATCGCCAGGACCTCGGTTAAAGCTTCTATTTTGAAGGCTTGATTGCAAATGCAACAGGGCAGAAAACACTGTCATTCCCCACCCAAACCCGTTATTTTCTTAGAGGTAAGGGGTCTTGAATTTTAATGGGAAGCACTTCTTAGCCGACTGATAGAAAGGTGGGAAAACACAGCCATTTAAAGATATTAAACAGATGTCTGTGCACACACTGTGTTACCTCAATGTGCCATGTGACTGCTGTCTATCTCTATGTATTATGGAACCTTTTCAGTGAAGGTGGCTCATTTGTACTTGAAATCGCACTTACTACCCAGCATAGATTTAAACCCTATGCAAACTGAAAAGCCCCAGTGCTTCCTCTTTTAACTAATACATTTGTTTTTAACAGGAAATGTTTTAAAATATCTTTTTGGAAGTGGGTTGGGGTTGAAAATTTTGTTTCTGGAAACAGCTGTATTCTGGTAATTGTTATGAAGTTTTAAAATATGACCAATGAATTACATGCGTGGATTTTTTATTTTATCTTCTACCTATTGGTTTTTTTTAAAAAATCAGATGACTTCCAACTCTGTAATTCTGAATTTGAAATGAAAATAACTCCAGTAGAAAAAAATTGGAAGATTATATGAAATCGCCATATCATTTCACTTGCTTGTGGATTCCTCCAGAAGTATAGGGGGGGGGGGGTTCTTTATTTTAGGGCGAGGGTGGCATTTAGGTTTGATTCACTGACCAGTTAATCATATGATAGCATCCAATTCTCTTGTAATTATAAATACACCTCTAAAAGTGCAAAAAGGGGGCAGTGACAATTATTTGGGTTTAAAACACTTTTCTGTCTCTAGAAAGATTGTAACACCTGGACACCTTTGGGAGGAAAGAGGGTTTATGATTGAGGTTTATAAAATCATGTATTATGTGAAACATGGCAAGATTTTCTTCTTGTAACACTGGACCTTATTAACAGATTCGGGACAGAAAGAAGTACATCTTCAATCTGTACTTCCATGTCCAGTTCAGTGTTACAAGGTTTGTTGCCCTCTAGTTTAAATTACTTAAAAGTGAATTATATAATTTCATGGAGGCTAAGGTTATGAATTTCTATGATTCTAAGAGCCATTGTGCTTTTGAATCCATTGTGCCTCCACAGCAACTGATGAGATTATTTTTGCCCCCATACACTTGTAAACATTTCAGAGCCATCTGGCTGGCCACTGTTGGGAAAACATGAAAAATAGGCAGGCCATTGGTCTGATCTAGTGGAGTTCTTCATATGCTTAAAACAAAAGCAGTGCAAGATGTCAGGCATCATTGTTTATTTTGTTAAAACGAGCTAAGGCAAGTTTCAGGTAGCAGTCCTTAAGAGCAGAGTTATGTAATCTGTTAGCACAGCATCAGTGTGAAGCTTTTGCTAAAACATACCTGTAATTATAGGAAACTCCTTTCAGAAGTCCCCATGGTTTTTAATTATGTCCCTTTACAACAGGAGGGGGGACCTTTGGGTATCCTGATGCTGAATTCCAGCTCACATCAGTCACACTCAATGGTTAGGAAGCAGAAAGCTGGAATCCACAACATATAGAGGGCCATAGGTTCTCCAGCACTCCTTTGTCAACTAAACCTAGATCTTTATTCCCTGCCTGATACTAAAACTGAATGACATTTTACGCTGGAATAATTATTTAATCTATATTATTATAAATTCTATTAATTCCCTCATTTGCACAATCACATATCTTTGCCCCTGGCCTTAGGCTGTGCAGTTTGATATGAAGATGAGGCCAGATTTCAGCTCAGTTCATGCTTCTTTATATAGTGACATTAAGGTACTAATGAAGAGCATTCAAGCATCTCTAACTCAACCATTATCTTTTGGGTACTTAGCAGGAAAAGATCTATTTGGCTATCACCTTTGCCTGTAACAAGGATTTTAGAAACATTTTCTCCTAGTTCACAGAAAAGAACAAAGCCAGGGAAACAGACAACAACAGCCACAATACAGAAGTATTTCTATACAACTACTCCCCTCCCCACTCGTTTACAGTGCCATACATGCTGTAGAAGATAAGTGACAAAATGTAACTGCATTAAGTAGCTATTCATTTCAATTTAAACAGACTCCATGTGCTTGCGACCTTAGCTTCTCAGAGCACCCGTTTTTGCATACAGCTTTTGCAAATATTCCAGCAAGGAGTTTTGTAAACACACTATTAGTACTTGAAACAGTGTTGATAGGGAATTAAATCTTCTGTTCGTTCACTATCCCAAACTAGGAAGACATACAGCCACTGGAAGTTGGCTGGAGAAACATGCGGGTGCTAATAGCCCAATATACATACAAGCGAGTCGAATTCTATTCCGTTCCTGGAATGTTTGTTCACAGTTAATGCTCCAGAGTTCAGAGATCCAGCAGACAGGCTAGTTCCTTCAAGCTGATCGAATGTGAGGTTAACACTGAGCATTGCATTTTGATTCGTGCTATGTAAATATTTCTGGTCCCCAGTATTTCCAGGATGGAAGAAGCCATTGTTAGAACACCAAAGCTGCTTTGCATCAGCAGGGCGTAGACTGTTCGTAAATGGAACTTGAGACATTAAATTCTATGCTGATTATTCAGAAAAGAATCCCTGGAGTTCCAAATCCTATTCTACCAGTTAGTCAGCAGTTAGAGAAGCCCTTAACTGTCAGCAAACCATGATGGCTGCAAACCACAATCTAGACATTACAAACCACAATATAACAATTCTCATGGTATTAACCTGACTCCTTTGTCTGCTGTACCTAACCCACCACTGACGCAATGGGTACTGGTGTTGTGTAGAGGTATACTCAGTTCTTTACTAGCTACAGGAGACAAGGAAAAATATAGTAAGTGGAGAAGGAACAGTCCCTTGTGCTCCTCTTTTGGGCTCTTGGCTTCCACCTTACTGCCTCTTGTGGCAATCTAATAAAATACTTCCCTGCAATTGTCAGCGCAGCTACTTCTGTTCTCTCTTCCAGACAATAACCATACCTTTGGCATCACTGGATGCCAAAAGGCTCTCGTCACAGTTAAAGCTGACATCCAGCACGGCAGCGCTGTGACCTTGCAATTTGTTAACGATGGCCTTAGTGGCACGCTCCACATCAAAGAAGTAGACGCACATATCTTCACTGCCGGTCACTGAAATGCATAAAGAAGAGATATTAATGGCAACAAGTTCCAATCTGGAAGCGCTTTAGGAGAGACTTAATTCTATCCTCTGCTTAATAGTGATGCCATGATTATGAGCCATTTGTAAAATGTGGCGACTGACTGCTTAGAATTGGCAGCTCAAAAGAAACCACAAGGGGAGATTGCTGCCCTCCCTTCCCCCTGCAATGGAAGTGGAATCCCATCATACCAACACAAGCTCCCTGGCGGAAGGACATGAGAGGGCAAAAGATGCTGCGGACAGGATGTGAGCTCTGCTGTATCTGGAAACTTCTCTTAAGCTGAAGGGTCCCTTCGTTGTCCACCACCCTGTCAAAAAACCAGAAAGTACAGCTACTGAATCAGAAAATTAATCATGTCCCATCCATCAACTAAGGGGAGGGTCATTAAGTATCCTGCTTCTAGTGAAATAGAGCCATGTAAAGTTCCATACCTATATAGCAGCAGTTTGTTAATACATGCATTGATGAGGAGAGATGGGTCCCGTGCTTCTCTACTGATCCAGGAGCGGGCTGAGATACTAGTGATAGAACTGCCCTCGTTTACCACTAGACGTTTGGCCTTGGTCAGTTTTCCTGCAGGAGGGGTGGAAAGTAGAGGATTGTGTTTTAAGCCAAAGTGTATATTGACTGCTCCTTGTCCCTAGTAGACTCATTTGATCCCCAGCTCACCTGTTGCCATGTCAAAGAGGAATGAAAATACACTGCCTTTATCATCTCCTGCCCAGAGTATACGGCCAGGAGAATCAAAGGACAGTGAGAGGACTCGGCCAGTTAGCTTGCTTGAGCCACCCTTCACTTTTTTCCCCGTTGAGATGTTCACCACATGGATGTTGTGCTTTCCATTCCCCACCTCATGGACAAAATAAAATAAAGAGACTGCATTCATATTACTGTACAGAATAAAGCACAGGAAAGTAAACAACACACATAATGTCTCCCTTAGTTTCACTTGGGGCACCTTGATCACCACCTTGATTCACTAAATAGCTAGAACATCTAGAGATGATAAATGTCATATTTTAACCTATGTTCATCCCGTGGTCTTGTGATTAGAGCATTTCCTCCAAAACAAAAAAATGAAGACCAACAGCATCAATTCTACACACCAGCTTCCATGCTTGTAAGTTGAACAGTTCTTTTCTCACTGCATCATGGGCAGACAAGAGGAGGGAGATTCCTATCATGCAAGCTTGTCTCCAAAGGAGAAAGGCCTGAATGCCTCAGTTATGGCAGAAGGACAGTATTATCTTAAATAGCCTTCACTCACCACCGTGAGATTATTGTTCATTGGCTGGAAAGTGCAACACAGCAGCTCAGAAGCATCTGGATCGGGAATCTCCCGGATGCACTTGCCATCCTCTGTAGCCCAAATGCGCATTGTAGCATCAAGTGACGTGGAAACAATGATGTCATTGGAGAGGGACCAGGCAAAATCTGATACACCACGGCTGTGTCCCTTCAGCACCCGCAGCACCACTGGGGGAGTGGGTACCAACTGGCACACTGAAATTGTGCCATCCAGTGAGCAGCAGGCTAGTAGGTGTTTATCATCATTGGCAAATTGAACCTTGGGCACTGCAGGGGAAGGGAAGACATGGGGTAGGGGAGGAGATGGAGGGCAAATTGGACTTTGACAGCCAAATGCAGGAACACACAGATACACCTTTCCTCTGAGCCTGGCAATTGTCAAAGATTCTTCATTAGTCTTAATTATTTTTCTACACTTCAGTTACATCCCTAAGGCAGTCCCCACTTAGAAAATAGGAATGCTTTCCTTCAACACCAGTACTCAACTGACTCCAAAGTATCTTGTGAGCAGTATTGTATAGTAAGGGAGACATTGCCTAAGAAACAGCATAGCATTCAACAGCACTTAAGTATGTCTACTAGTAAATTGGCAATTGCAGCCTGTAAATGTTTTTCCAACCCTCCTGCTTTAGCTGTCCCCTTCAACTTTAAATGACAGGAATAACAGCCATTTTTCTCATTCCTGTTATGTATCTCTGCAAAGAACTATCTGATGTCACTATCATTTGTATTTATGTCACTATTATGGCCTCAAGGGTCAAGGAGAAACACTCAGCATCCAGTCTACTCACCAGCCTCATCCACATGCTGGTCAAAGATATGGTACATGCCGGCAAAAGCATAGTTCTCACTTAGTGTAGTATCCCCGGCCATGGCACGGCTGGCTTCTGCCACCGAAGTGGGTACAACACTGCCTGGGGGTCTAAAGGAAGATGCAAGACATTGAGCTACTACAAGGATATGCCATTTCTGGCTGGATGAGTGAGGCCAATTAGAAGTACAGAGCCTTCATTCTGCATGCATCAGCCATTTGTACTCAGAATTTAGTTCTGTTATCAACAGTCCTTGATCAACACAGGCAAGCAAGTTCTTTTGTCACATCTAAAAAAATAGATGGGTGAATATACAAGTCATTCTACTTGCAGATCAAGCTGCTGTTGGCTGCATACCTCTCATCGTAGACAACTCGGTTCATTTGAGCTTGCAACTGGTAGGACCCTCGGCTGACAGAGCGGCGGTGGCCACGGGCACCCAGTGCTCTTGGGTCGTCATCAAAGTCCTATGGCACAACATACAACTGTTATTAATAGTTAAAATTTGGTAGAAAGAAGGAACTAAAGGATATGCAGTTGAGAAGTGCTTTTCTGAAAGTAAGAGGGGCAAAAGCAGGCCTCCCTGGATCAAGGGAGTACCTGTGAGGAAATAGCAGCAACAACACTCAATACAGAGCTGTTACTTGTACACATAGCCTAATGTTATTTCATCCTTTGTATTCCTATATTTGAACCTTTGCAAATCAATGTCTGAATGGGAGCAGCTTCTAATTGAAGTTCTGAATTTAGAAGAGCTACATTTTAAACATTTTCAGTATCTACCTTACCCTTGCCTTCCTTCTGTTCTTTCTGGTATGTTACTCTAGCTCAAATCTGCCAGAGTTGCAAATTCGTTAAAAAACTAAATCTCAGGATTAGAATTGCACAACATGACTACATGTAACATATGCTTAATTTGTACACTCTGATTGTGCACAATGGCTGAAATCCAATTTCTGATCAAAACTGTAGGAAAGCCAATGAATCACATGATTCCATGGGCCTAGTTGGGATTAGCAGTCAGATTTAGGCCATATAATTTGTGTTTCCTTTATGGACACACAGTACCCATGGCAGAGTGGTGTATAACCCTGTATTCTCTCAATTTCTTCTGATTCTGGATACAAAGCAGGATCAGTCCTGGTTAGCACTTAGATGGGAGACACCAGGGAATGCCAAAGATCTTCAGGTAGGGCTAGGAAAGAACTGAGAGCTGCTTTTGTTCAGCATTGATCCAACTGGGCTAGATGGGCCGAGGGTCTGGCTTCATTTAAGGGCTCGTGAATGCCCTGACAGTGGCAAAGGATGCTGTGCTGCATGGAGTATGGCCATGTACTGCAACTAGCAGTATGCCTCACAGGAGTGGTGACTCGGGCATAAAAATGACCCTGGAAGACTGCACTGTGCCCATCCCCGCTTCATGGGAAGGCAGTCTTTTATCACAGCAGGCGTTGAGCTCGGCATCTCCCCACCAGAGGACCAAATTTCATTTATATACAGCATACTTCCTGTAGGAATGCTCTTGGCATTCCTTGTTTTCTAGTTCCCTGGCTGCCCTTCAACCCAGGAGCCCTGGTTACCTCCATGCGGTCAAGGGTGGTGCGACTGCTTCGGACAATGCTGTTGCTGTATGCACGGAAGCTGCTCTGCTCTGAGAGGGGGCCGTAGCGCTGGGCCAGGAGCTGGCTGCGCAGCCGGAGGTACTGCTTACGAAGCGAGGGATCGTAGCCGGCTTTGGCGTTGTCCCGCAGCAGCTGGCTGCGCCGGCGGATGTACTGCGTGCGGAATTGCGGGAAGTTGGGAGTGCGGTATGCGTTGTACCTGCAATTGGGGGGGGGGGGGGGGGGGTGGTGTATCAGGTGCTTGGAGCCTAAGTCAAAGTACATCCTAACTCAGCCCACCCTGGTCTATGGCTCTTTGGCACCATGTTTACTAGCACCAACTGAGTAGAAATAATCTCCTGTAAAATTCCCTGCAGCACAGTGCCCTCTGTTACCGCGTTTTGGTCCACAGCCAGCAGTGTTGCTGTTGACCAACAATTTATAATTTTTTGTGGGGGCACCCAGATGAAGAAAATATTTAAAAAATTGGCATTTTAAAAATTCATTCCTGAGTAATTTACAGTCAGCTATCTACATTTGTGGGTTTAACTCTTGTGGATTTGACTATAGATTTGATTAAATATTTTCCCTAGGAATCTCTAGGTTCTCCAGTGTACCTCTTTGGTCAACTTCCGTCAGAATCTTTCTGGAAGACTTAAAAGATTCCTAGAGAGGTGTTATTTCAAGTTTAAAAATTGTCATTTTCTTCACGTTTTCTACTTTCACCACTTATTCTAGCAAATGTGGAGTGCTAGCTATATTAAAGTAGTGCCCTGATTACTACTTACTTAATATAGGATTTTTAGGCTCTGAAATTTCAACAGTCTTGGCCCCAAAATTAGGATGGCTAAATCAATTCCCACATTTCAGATCTTGTTTTGAGTGGCTATTTTAAATCCTGCACTGATTACAAGGACAGTAACGTGAAATTTAAGCATTATTTTTAAACAAGTGTCCTTTGTTTAATCTGTTTTGAGTATTTTAATATGTATTTTATAGAAATATGTTTTAATATGTATCTTTTATAGAAATACATTTTGATGTGTGTATTTGTGGTATTTTTACAATTCTTACCCACCTCTCCTCGTGGCTTGAGGAAGGTTACAGAATAATTAAAACACATATTCTGTAACCCTCCCTGAGCCATGAGGAGAGGCCGATAAGAAATAAAATTATTATTATCATCATCCATGTACTGGGACAAACTACCAATGATAAGACCTGGATTCTATTGGTATGGCTTAACACACACCCATGGGATCCATGAGATGTACATAAATATTAACTTAAGTTGCCTCTATGTTGTTCATGCCCCATTGCAAACGTAGATTTTGGACTTTCACCTAAGACACCTGTGTTCCTGAACAATTAAGGCAGGGCCAAGGTGGTCCCCCTTTTGGGACCTCTGCTTCCTAGCAGTGTGGCCCTGTGTCCACATCACCTTTTGGCCTGGCTCCATTCAACTTACCGTGCATCTACAGCCAGCACCTGTTGCCACACTGCTGCCATGCCCCACACTGCCAGTGGCCGCTCAGGGGAGCTTGCAAGTGGGTGCCTGCAATGGGTCAGATACAGCGGTGTCAGTATAAGATGGAAAGTAAGATTGTGATGATTTGTGGAAAGCAAGACTGTGTTGCTGCATTTATTAGCTCAATTAAGGGAAAATATGGTTATGTATGCAATGTGTTTCAGATTTGGTAAATATCTTGTGGGAAGGGCTTGAGAATCGAATGCTGGGTGTGACTGATAATTGGCTGGATGTCTGAGGGATTTTTAAAGCACGTGTATGACTAGTGGAGGAGCTTGAGGTGTTAGGGAGTCAGTCAGGGTTAGAGAAAGAGATTGACTCTGATTACAGTGTCAGAGTTAACTAGAATAAGAGTGAGAAAGAGAGAGCGAAATGTGCGTTAGAGGTAGCCGCAGGATTTACAAGCATTACATGTACTGTAAGTCATCTTTGGTGCTGTGTTCAGTTTATAAAATAATCTGCTACTGAGAATGCTACAAAAGTAATACCAAAGAGCTCAAGTTCTTGTGATGGCTGTGTTAATCCAGGGCAATTAGATGAAAAGGTCTCTTATGAGAACCATGTAAACAGAAGATCAAGACAGTTGATGCCATAGCAGTGGGGCAGGAGATCACAGGGGGCAAAGGGGATGCATAAAATCAATACAAACATACCTCAGTTGACAAAGCATCTGACACAGACATTCCTTTTTACATAATAGTTTAATGTTCTCCCTTTTTTCCCTGGTAGCTTTTAAATAGCACTAGGATGGTGAAGGACTGGAGAAACACAGATTTTCAGAATCAGGCTGCAGCAAACAATGTAGTGAAAGCTTGAACTGCGTAATCATGAGACTCTCCTTTGGTCAATTCTACTATAGCAGTATGTGCTTGCTTACAACAAGCATGATAAATAGCAGCTGTCTCCAGAATTACCTCAGGGTATGTTGAAGACAGAAACATAGAGAAAGGAAGAAGGCAGATCGGCCTGCCCACCAGCTACCCCAACATGTCAAAGAAACTTAGGGCCCTTCCATACAGCCCAGAACATCGGCAGAAAATCCCACAATAGTAGCTTTGAACTGGGTTATCTGAGTCTACACTGCCATATATTCCAGTTCAAAGCAGATATTGTGGGTTATTCTGCCTTGATATTCTGGGATATAGGGCTGTGTGGAAGGACCCCTAGTCACCAAAATGGAGGTCATAAGAAGTGGAGGCTAATGAAAGAAACTAAAAACAATTGCTGAATGCATTTTGGAAGAAGCTTTCAAGTGAAACTTTTCATTTCCATTTAAACCAGCACAAGGAATCACGGAGCCTCTCCTGTGATCTTTTGAGAAATGATCCAAGTCTAATGCTTCTTTCCTTGGTGTGTGCTTTCAAGGCCAAAAGATGTATTAATGGTTTGAATAAGATAAATAAATGGAATAAATCTACCACTGTATAGGAAAGTGCTCCTGACCTTTAGAAAAAAAATTAAAATAATGGTTCTGGGACCAGGCTTTCGAACAATAGATGTATGCAGCTTTTAGTGGGACAAGGACTGGAACAGCGACTCGACTGATGAGATTGTTTTATGGTTTTAATAACTGTTTTGATATTTGATGATGTACTGTTTTTAATATGATTTATGTTTAAAGTATGGTTTTAATATTGTAGTTGTAAGGCATTGAATTTTTGCCATTATCTATGTGTAAACCGCTTTGAGTCCCCCTAGGGGTGAGAAAAGTGGTATATAAATGCTGTAAATAATAATAATAATAATAATAATAATAATAATAATAATAATAATAATAATAATAAACAGGCAGGGCAAAGAAGAAAGTCATAAAGCTGCACAGACCCACCCCAGAGGAAAAGAAAAAGTGCCCTGTGATGCTTGGCAAGCTAAGTGGAAAGCAATTCAATCAGGACTCTGCCAGTGATGGTGACAGAATATATTTCTGCAGAATAGAGTGCACCTCTGCTTAAATAGACTAAGGGCCCTTCCACAGCCCTAGATCCCAGAATTTCAAGGCAGAAAATCCCACATTATCTGAGTGTGAACTTAGATAAGCCACTTCAAAGCAGACATTGTGGGATTTTCCACCTTGATATTCTAAGGTATAGGGATGTGTGGAAGGGCCCTAAGGCATTAGATCCCAATGGATTTTGGAAGAAAGAAGGGTCAGTCCTGGTGAGTACTTGGATGGGAGATCACAACTGAATTTCAGACACTGTGGGTTATACTTCAGAAGTAGTAACTGGTAAAATAAAAACTAAAAATCATTTTTTTCACAAAAAATGATTTTTTTTACTGAAAATGTAAGTTTGAGTTGAATTTGCCTTTATTTGCTGTTAATTACTGTATTTTAGTATTATCAAGTCTACACAGCTGATGGTATAGCATTAGGCCTATTTTTAATAGTAACTCGCAAGCAACCAGAAACGACATTTATCTGGCATCTACTAATCCCTGTGGGTGCCGGTTAACCGAGAGTCTGTTGTATTAACAAATTCATTTTCTAATTCCTAAAGGAAAAGATTAATTTTGGTTTGCGCAGCTATTCATTTTGCTGGAAAATTAACATGTTTTCTGCATTCGTACATGACACAATGACCATAATTCTTCATGAAGGGCCCATACCTCAAAATATAGGTTTTTCTTTCATTCATTTTTTTAATATCTCCAAAATGGGTGCATCTACATGGTGCAGAATCAATGCAGGTTGACACAAATTTAAATGCCATGGCTCAGTGTCTTGGGCCTCTTCCACACAGCTGTGTAAAATCCACAATGTGTGGACATTGATAATCTATATATTGTTCAAGGCTTTCATGGCCGGAATCACTGGGTTGTTGTAGGTTTTTTCAGGCAATATGGCCATGTTCTAGAAGCATTCTCTCCTGATGTTTCGCCTTCATCTATGGCAAGCATCCTCAGAGGTTGTGAGGTCTCAAGACCTCACTACCTCTGAGGATGCTTGCCACAGATGCAGGCAAAACGTCAGGTGAGAATGCCTCTAGAACATTTATTATATTTATTTATTTATTATTTACAGTATTTCTATACCGCTTTTCTTACCCCTAGGGGGACTCAAAGCGGTTTACACATAACTGACAAAACTTCAGTGCCATACATTGGACACTGACACGATGCCAAACCATAACAACCACAATAATAAAACCACAATTAAACATAAATCATAATTAGACAGTACATAAGCAATCATTAAAACAATAAATAATAAAAACAGTCTCGCCAGTCGTATTGTCATTCTAGTCCATGTCCTTTAAACTCTATAAACATCTACTGTCCAAAGGCCTGATCCCAAAGCCATGATTTTAATTTCTTTCTAAAAACCAGGAGGGAGGGAGCAGATCTTACCTCATTTGGGAGTGTGTTTCATAGGCGAGGGGCCACAGCCGAGAAGGCCCTGTCTCTCGTCCCCGCCAGACGCATTTGCGCAATTGACGGGAGCGAGAGCAGGGCCTCCCCGGATGATCTTAGATTATGAGATGGGACGTAGGGGTGGATGCGTTCGGACAAGTAAGCTGGGCCAGAACCGTATAGAGCTTTATAGGTCAACATGGCCATATAGCCTGAAAAAACCTACAACAACTCATTGATAATCTAGTTCAAAGCCGATAATGTGGATTATGTGACAGTATTGACTCATATAATCCAGTTCAAAGAAGATACTGTGGATTGTATTGTAGAAGGCGTTCATGGCTTGAATCACTGGGTTGTTGTAGGATTTTTGGGCTGTATGCATCCTCTGAGGATGCTTGCCACAGATGCTATGGCAGAGGCTGGATGGCCATCTGTCAGGGGTGATTTGAATGCAATATTCCTGCTTCTTGGCAGGGGGTTGGACTGGATGGCCATGAGGTCTCTTCCAACTCTTTGATTCTATGATGCAGGTGAAATGTCAGGAGAGAATGCTTCTAGAACATAGCCATACAGCCAGAAAAACCTACAACAACATACTGTGGATTATTGGCCTTGATATTGTGGGTTATATGGTTGTGTGGAAGGGCCCCTGTACTTGGGAGTTGTAGTCTGGTTAGGCACCAGCAGTCATAGACAGAGAAGGTTTGGCCCTGTAAAACTACTATTCGGTAGTGTCGAGCCATGGCAATCAAACTGCATTAATTCCACAGTGGTGACGCACCCCAAGCCTCAAAAACGGGGCAGCCCTCCTCAGAAGGGCAGTCCTGAAAGGAGGAGGCTTGCTGGCCCTGGAATAAACCCAGGAGGAAGCTTAGAAGCTAGGCCTCTCCCACAAAGCAGGCCCTGGCCTGTTGCCATGGTGATGGGCCCTGGCCTGTTGCCACGGGCGACGAGGAGGGGGGTTTGGGGTGCGACGCCCGAGAGGACCACTGCCTTCGGGTCTCCATGGCAACCGTATCTCCGGGATGAAGGGGAAAGGCCCGAGGCCTGGGAAAGGGCCCGAGGGCACGCGCCAGGCTGGAGGCGCTGCCAAAGGTTTGGGGCGCAGCGCCGGCGGAGGAAATACAAAAGCGGGGCGGTACCTGCAAACGGCTCCCGGCTTCTCAGACCCAGCGATGGCCGACCCACTGCCGGAGGAGGAGGAGCAGCAGCAGCGGAAGGCACCCGGGAGGAAAGAGGCGGAGGAGGGGGGAGGAGGAGCCTCCGCTTTCCCCGCTCAGCCCCAAACCGGGCTTTCCCGTCTCTCCTCCCAGCATGGTTTGCAGCAGGGCTTCAGTCCAGGCTTTGTGTTCTCCACCGGAAGTGGGAGGAGGAAAGAGTGCTCCTGAGCGCATGCAGAGCGCATTGGACTTCTCATCAAGACAGAAGGGCTCTCGAGAGCTTCCAGAGAGACAGAGGCCAAGCATTGATATTCTCCATATACTGTTGAATTCATGCACCATTTGAACTGCCATGGCTCAGTGCTATGTAGTAATGTTGTTGTTGTTGTTCATTCGTTCAGTCGTCTCCGACTCTTCGTGACCTCATGGACCAGCCCACGCCAGAGCTCCCTGTCGGCCGGTCACCCCCAGCTCCTTCAAGGTCAATCCGTCACTTCAAGGATGCCATCCATCCATCTTGCCCTTGGTCGGCCCCTCTTCCTTTTACCTTCCACTTTCCCAGCATCATTGTCTTCTCTAGGCTTTGCTGTCTCCTCATGATGTGGCCAAAGTACTTCAACTTTGTCTCTAGTATCCTTCCCTCCAGTGAGCAGACGGGCTTTATTTCCTGGAGGATGGACTGGTTGGATCTTCTCGCAGTCCAAGGCACTCGCAGAACTTTCCTCCAACACCACAGCTCAAAAGCATCGATCTTCCTTCGCTCAGCCTTCCCTAAGGTCCAGCTCTCACATCCGTAGGTTACTACAGGGAATACCATGGCTTTGACTAGGCGGATCTTTGTTGCCAGTCTGATGTCTCTACCCTTTACTATTTTATCGAGACTGGACATTGCTCTCCTCCCAAGAAGTAAGCATCTTCTGATTTCCTGGCCACAGTAATAGTAATAGTTTATTTAGTGCTTAGACCAGTATTCATTTATTACCAACTAGCCGTCCCCTGCCATGCTTTGCTGCGGCCCAGTCTGTGTATATGTGCTTTGTGTGTATATATATTTGTGTATATGTGTGTTTGCGTATATATGTGGTTTGGCGCATGCGCTGTCACGTCTTTTTGCTTTTTTGGCTTTTTACGTCTCTTCTGCTGTTTTTCAGTGTTTTTATGAGTGATGGTCACTTGTTAGCCTGAGAGGTGTCTTGTGTCCAAATTTGGTGTCAATTCCCCCAGTGGTTTTGGAGTTATATTAATCCTACAAACCAACATTACATTATTATTTATATAGACTAGCCATCCCCTGCCACGCGTTGCTGTGGGCCAGTCTGTGTATATGTGTTTTATGTGTGTATATAGGCATATATGTGTGTGTATATATTTGTGTATATGTGTGTTTGTGTATATATGTGGTTTTGCGCATGCATTGTAATGCATTTTTTTTTGTTTTTGGCTGTTTAAGTCCCTTCCATTGTGGTTTTCAGTTTTTATGAGTGATGGTCACTCGTTGACCATCACTCATAAAAACACTGTCAATTCTCCCAGTGGTTTTTGAGTTATGTTAATCCCACAAACCAACATTACATTATTATTTATATAGATTGACAACATTTCTGTACCACTTTTCTCACCCCTGGGGGGGGGGGGCAGACTGAAAGTGGTTTACAACATAATAAATGGCAAATTCAGTGCCTCACACATATATAAAAATATCACATATCTAAATCAATAGCATATAACTGTAGATTAAAACCATTAAACTATTAAAAAAAACAAACATGGAACATATTGCTGCAATTAACAACATAGACCCCTTCTCTCACCGCCCCACCTTCCCATCTCTCTTTCCATAGTGTTTCAGCCCTTCTTTTTATACCTTCCCTGCTCCCCCCACCGCCCAAGACACAAAGTTTTTTGGGTACATATTGAATATAGAATGGGGAGGGTAAAAACCATCCTGGGCCTTTTGGGAGGACGGTAAATGTGATATGAGGTCCTTGAGGGGGGCAGGGGGAGAGTCTTATCTGATGCTAGCAGTAGGCTGCAGATCAATTTGGTAAAAGTCTAGAGCAGAGTTCCACAAACTTTTTGAACAGAGGGCCAGGTCACAGTCCCTCAAACTGTTAGAGGGCCGGATTATAATTTGAAAAAAATTAATGAATTCCTATGCTCAGGACTGGTGGTGCCTCATCAAGCTACAGCTCCTAGGATTCCATATCACTGAGATGTGGCAGTTAAAAGAGTATCAAACTGGATTAATTCTACAGAATAGATGCTCTCATGCACACACAACTCAGGCCCCTTCCATACAGCTGAATATAATCCCACATTATCTGCTTTGAACTGAAATATATGGCTGTGTGGACTTAGTTAATCCAGTTCAAAGCAGATATTGTGGATTTTCTGCCTTGATATTCTGGGTTATTTGGCTGTGTGGAAGGGCCCTCATTCTTCCCCCTACTTTTTTTTCTTTAGTACCAGTATTTGCCAACCATTCCTCTCTAAAAGGTGCTTCAGGTAGCCTCCAAACCAACCCTTGTTCATAGTAATCCTGAAATCACACTGTAATTGTTCTCTGGCAAGAGGACAGAAAGGCTTTTACAGAGATAAGAGAACCCAGAGGCTTTATTATGATTTTGTAGGGCATGAACATGCACTCAAGAAGGAAAAAGGAGATCGCTCTGGGACTGAGCCTCGATTAGTCTTATCTCCCAGTTCTGATAAGTACATTCACAGTGCAATCCTATATGCATCATCAGACAGATGCAGGGCCATAGCCAGAAAAAAAATTCGGGAGGGGTTGAAATTTTCAGGAGGGGGGGGGTGGTTGAAACCTGCCTCCTAGCTCACGCTGAAGCAAAGAGCACAGCAGGGGGCAGAGCAGCCTTCCATAGCCTGCAGCTCCGCCCCTGTCAACCACCTCCACCAAGTCTGGCCTCCTTAATGAGAGCATTCAACACCCCCCTCCCCAACTTGGTTGCTTCGCTACATCGGCTATTGCTGCAAGTAATGACAGTGTGAATAAATTGTCAATATTTGCTTGAGATAGTGCTTGCAGTTCTGGAGGGACTCTTAATTTTTTGCATCTCATAGACTTAGCATGGGGATTTGGTTAAGCAGTTAAAATTCATGAGTAAACCAGGTTTTTTAAAAAATCTGAAACATTTCGGGGGGGGTTGAACCCCTAACCCCCCCCCCCCTCGCTACAGGCCTGGACAGATGCCAATCCTGTAGGGCTTGCTTTCATATACAGAATGGCAGCCTAAACGGATGTCACACTTTTGCTGTTAGAACACTAATAACTATAAATATTGCTCTCATAACATTTTATAGAGTTGTTATCAAACTCCCCACAAGATGATCTAAGATAGAAAATAACAAAAGTTGGAAATGTGAAAGACAAGAAGGAACTTCTTATCACATGTAGTCAACATGTGATAAAGCTAAGTATTGGAAGCAGATTACAGTGGGCGACATATGTTTACGACTAGAATACAGTACATTGAAACCTGAGTTGGTTTTACTAAGTTTGTCAAATGAAGGTCTTGAACAAAAAGTCTAATATGATTTTGGCAGCATGTTAAAATGGAGTAATTCACAGTCAGCAATAAAAGAAGATGGGATATTGAAGCAATTTGAAATGGCAGAAATGGACAAACTTTCCACTTTGCTTTAGAAAGAAGTCTGGATATATATATATTTAAAGACTGAGACCATTTTGTTTACAAAGAAGGGAAGATGACATCTCTGGGCTTTCAAACTGATGGCTTTTAAAAATATGCGTTTTAGACAGAAGTTTAAATATTAGTTAAATAGTAGCGTGGAAGTGACTGATGCCTTTACATTTTTGTCTATGGCTTGGAGTATTGGAAGCAATTTTTTAAGCTTTGTAGATGATAGGGTAGATTCGTTTTTTTCCCTTTATTCTTTGAGTTTCTTTTCTTATTTTCTTGTTTTGTGTGTTTCACAGTAAAGATATGTTTTAAAAATACAACATAATTAAAATACAAATGTTCAACATTAAAAAATTAATTATTAGCTGATGGAAGCACAGCAAGGAGTTCCGAGGAAGGGAAATCCAGAGCCAAGGGGCAGCCACCAAAAAGGCCATGTCTTGTGTCTGTGAGAGAAGTGGGATTGAAAGGAGGGTCTCCTTGAGACTCTCAAAAGCCAGGCAGGCTTATATAGGGAAATACAGTCTATTATCAGATAGCTTGGGTCATACCCATTTTGTCCATTAATTTGAATGAAGGCAGAAATTCATCTTTAATACAATAAGTGATAGCATGCCCTACATTGTTTTTTGTTGTATCCTTGTAAATCAGAACTTTTCAAACATTTCATGTTGGTGACACATTTTTTAGACATGCATCTTTTTTGCAACACAATAATTCAGTTTTATTAGCAAACCAGAGGTTAAAACAACCCCTTATAAGACATACGGATTATGGACATACATATACCTAAATTGTAAAAATGAAATGTATAGGGATACAACATATTTCATGGAAACCTTTCATTCATATTTTAAAGACATATGATTTACTGATTATTTCACATAGACTAAGACACATTTGTGCAGCACACCTACACACTGCAGTTGACACGCTAACATGTCATGTCACACAGTTTGGAAAACTCTGGTCTAAATCATTTCTGCTTTATGACAACCTAAGTCATACTTATCGTGGGGCTTTAGTGACAAGATTTGTTTTGAGATGGAGGTTGGCTTTGCCATCCTCTGTGGTTGGGTTGGATCTCATCTACACTGCCATATAGTTTTAAATTGTTCTTTTATATGCTGTTGGTTTTACTTTTTTGTATTGTACGATGTGTCATATGTAAACTGCCCTGAGTTCCTTTGGGGAGATGGAGGTGGGGTACAAAAATAAAGTTGTTCTTGTTATTATTATTAGAAACACAACAAGATGAGTCCACAGCAGACACTCTGCTAGCTGTTGTATTGGATCACACGTCGGACACTTCCCAAGTGTCTAGGACTGTGTGATGTATCAGCAAATAATGCGTGCATATCCCAGTAAGGTGGCCTTCTGCAGCTGGCAGATGGTAATTTTGTCAGCGCTGATTGTGTTTAAGTGCAGGCCAAGGTCTTTAGGCACTGCACCCAGTGTGCCGATCACCACTGGGACCACCTTGACTGGCTTGTGCCAGAGTTTGCAGTTCG